TCGAGCTAAATAAAACCGTTTAAATACTCGTATTGCGAGTCGATATAGGCCGGTAGGTGGCTGATTGGTGCCGGAGGTATCGTCTTGTATAATCCGCGATATTTTTCTGCCGTTTCTCGATATCAATAGCGCCGTTCTTAATCATCAGCGCAACGTTATTATTCGAGCATTATGTAAACTTCACGGTTATTGTGACACTGGCCAGACGTCCCAAACACTCTAAGTATGTGCACTATTTTGCCTTTATGCTAATTAACAATCAAAGCTTACTCTCTACCTGTAATCGTCATCGATGAGAACAAAGATACACAGTTGGCAAACAAGATACTCACAGTTACTGATCATCACCATCTTCTTGACGTATGTTTTAAACAGCATCTGCGATAAGATTTAAAGAATTACAATACGAAATAACATGAAAGTAGATAGCTGATCACTATGTTGTTAAGCTTCGACAAGTTCTTGATGCCTGCGGAGCTGTCATCAATAACTAAGCACGACAGAATATCACTAATTAAGTCACCAAGCTGAACCAAAACTTAGAGTAAGTAGCCACGATGTGTTGCGTTGTTACTATCATCCATAGGTTTCCGAAGATTGAAATGTTAATCAAAACGGGTAGATTTTTATTAACACAAAAATAATATTGGCATCAAATATTTAGTCTAAAAAAAACAAATCTTCTATTTTATTTTGAGGAGTTCGGATCAATTAAAAGATATACTAAATTCCCTTTGCAATTCTCGGAAAAAACGCAAAATATCAATGAAAGCTGTACCAAAGTCAAGAGTCGTCGCTAAGCCGTCTTCAAAATGCAATGTTGCCGATATCTGCGGCCGGTGGCGGAATATCTAAGTAATACTATGTAATAAAACGCAAACAGCACAGCCGAAAGTATTGTTGTGCCCAGCAAAACCACGCGCGTTGCTTAGCCATCTCGCAGTCTCTCCTAGGCGGCTCGAGAGTAAACTTGTGTCCACTGAGGAGCTTTTACCTGCCCCGGAATTCGCCATTCGCTGAAAAAAACTTACATCGGTGCTATTGTCATTACAAATTGTGTCAGTTTTCAATTGAAGATGAGTAACACTCACTAAGGATTGTATGAAATAGTTTATGCACTCACTGTATTTTCTAACCAAAAAAGTTGAAGAAGAAAGAAGTTGTTGGATCTTCTTTGTTTCTCCTCCTTGACGCTCCATAACTGATGAAATGTACTACTTTATCAACACATAATAGCCGACGTCACTAATAACAAAATTTAAGTTTTTTTTTTATCTAAATCATAATGCCCTAATGCCCAAATTTTTTTTTCTCCGTAATTATTGTTTCAATTATGTTATATCTTTGTCGTATTGTATATAATTACCAATTGTATGATGTAGCCTTCTACATCATACAATTGGTAATTATATACAATATACACCCTAGATGGCATCTAGCATTGCTAAACACGCAGTAGAAAAAGCATGTTGGATGTCAAGATTTTCGTTCAGTTTGATGCTGATTGTTGCTTAAGTTTATTATTGTTGGCTTGTTATTAATGTTTAGAGGCACTTTAATAACCCTCTTAAGCTGTGCCAAAGAGCGAATAATCTTTAGCCTTAGTACGGTAGATTGAATTAATAAAACTACTTAATCAAAAAGCTTCACAGATATCCAATGTAAAGCTTTGATAAAGTACATTACACGATTTTGATGATTTTAAGTTCTCGCTTAGATCGTCAGCTATAGTAGATAGGGATCTGGAAGATTACGATGAAAACTATAGGACAACTGAACAATGGCCCCAGCAAATAATGTGTTGGCTGTTACGATGATCATTCAAAGTTCTGCCCAAAAAAAAATAATAAATTCCCAAACGGTCAATCGGCATACCTATACAATTTTAGAAAAATATTTATGTTATAAGTCGATACTTTTAATCTGGATGTAACGATATCCGAAATGTATATTTGAGTATGGATCTAATATATACAATCCTATACAATCCATTGCACTGTTTGGATATTTTGCAAGCTCTCGTTAATTTGCAAGTTCAGTGGCAATTTCAATGAAGATGATTTCCGAATGAGCAGTTTGCCCGCCTTCTAACACTGACACTACTTCTAACACTGGCAAATGTGTTCTGCGAACGCCTAAGACAATGAAATTAGGGAAGTTTTTCTAGGGCACCTGGGAGCGTCCAGGGAGTAAATTCGACCAGTTCCATTGTTCACATTTCCCGTCAAAGAGTCGTATGCAATCTTTTGTAGCTGATACCATTGTGGAACTTTATACGAATTGCGGACTTTATTTGGATATTGCTGTGCTCTTAGTAGTCTTGATTAGTACATTATGCCCCGTTTTCTGAAACACTGATCATTGTAGATATCAACTAATCAAATTTCATTTTAATTGCCAAAAGGATGGATAAACTCTCTGAATTGATTCACACAGTAATACTCTTAATGATCAGAATGATCAATTCAAAGAGGTTAAACTCCTAAACATCCTTTTGGCAACTCAAACGACATTTGAAAAGCAATTTGACACCTGATAAATTAACATCTACGATCAGTGTTTCAGAAACCGGTCGTATGAATTGGAAGATTGAGTGGCATCATGATCAAACACGAGTCTTATTAAAATAAAAAAGTAAAGTAACAGCCTATACATGTCCCACTGCTGGGCAAAGGCCTCCTCTATATAGAGGGTATCAGGGCATAGTCCACCACGCGGCCCCACTGCGGATTGGCGGACTTCACATATCTTCGAAATATTTTTTTTTATTATTATTTCGAAAATATGCAGGTTTCCTCACGATGTTTTCCTTCACCGCGGAGCACGTGATAAGACAGCATTTAAAGTTAAAAACTTCATTGATGCCGGCACCGGGGATCGAACTCAGGTTGCTCGAGTATTTTGAATTAAAGGCGAGCGCCCGGACACTGAGCTATCACGGCCATTTTCTTTGTTCGCCATCAATAAACATTCCTGATATACAGTAAATCTTACAAAAGGCAATCATCTTGTAATTTTGTAATTACCTTGAAATTTTTCTATAGAATATCTGATGTGCCAAACGACGCTATTTGGAAATAATTTTTGTATTTTTTAATGTTGTTCGTGAAATGTATAGAACCTCTTCTCATCCTAAAAACTAATGAGCGTATTGGATGGGGCAGCATTATTAGTGGTGGGGCCAATTGTGGCAATTTGACTATTCATTAGGCACAACATAATCCATTCATTTCAACGCTTTTCAATATCGACAAGTAAAGTAACAGCCTAAATATGTCGCACTGCTTGCAAAGTGTTATTTTTTTATTATTTCGAAATTATTTAGGTTTCCTCACGATCTTTTCCTTCACCGCTGAGCACGTGATGTCAATACTTAAAATTAACAATTCCACTAGTAGGGGTTTTTAACTCGGCGAGTGCCCAGACATTGAGACTGAGCTATCACGGCTCGATATGTCAGCAGTTTGTCGATATTACAGAAAAGAAAATATTTGTCAATATTATGGAGACGAACGAACAGTAATTGATTTTAATATATTATATAGATTAAAGCGAAATTGTTTCAAAAAGTTTAATACAGCCTAAATGTGTCAAATTAAATACTCCCTTGATATGTTAATAAAATTAAAAGTTTCATCTAACGACTTAAGATATTTGTTACCTTGTTCCGTCATTCAAGTTTCCGCGCAACGTATTGCATATTATGAGTTTGGTATATTGGAAATATTTGACAACCCTCATTGCTTGAGGTTCTTGTAAGAAAGGAAACGATTGAAAATAAAACTGGAAAAGGTAGAAATTGACAACATTGTCGCAAGTGCACAAGTTGATCGGCTCGGTTATAGAAATGTGACGCAATGGATTGTTTGTGGTTTAAAGTGGAAATAAAACCGTTTAAAAACTTTAAAGTTAAACGGTTTTATTTTATGTGCACTGAAAACTACAATATTGTATTTTCATGTAAATTAAATGTGTGTACCAAATTTCAGATCAATCTGACAACGGGAAGGTGCCTAAATTTCAATTTCTAATTTTGACCCAAATAAACAAACAAATTCCGTACGGGTCGAGCTAAATAAAACCGTTTAAATACTCGTATTGCGAGTCGATATAGGCCGGTAGGTGGCTGATTGGTGCCGGAGGTATCGTCTTGTATAATCCGCGATATTTTTCTGCCGTTTCTCGATATCAATAGCGCCGTTCTTAATCATCAGCGCAACGTTATTATTCGAGCATTATGTAAACTTCACGGTTATTGTGACACTGGCCAGACGTCCCAAACACTCTAAGTATGTGCACTATTTTGCCTTTATGCTAATTAACAATCAAAGCTTACTCTCTACCTGTAATCGTCATCGATGAGAACAAAGATACACAGTTGGCAAACAAGATACTCACAGTTACTGATCATCACCATCTTCTTGACGTATGTTTTAAACAACATCTGCGATAAGATTTAAAGAATTACAATACGAAATAACATGAAAGTAGATAGCTGATCACTATGTTGTTAAGCTTCGACAAGTTCTTGATGCCTGCGGAGCTGTCATCAATAACTAAGCACGACAGAATATCACTAATTAAGTCACCAAGCTGAACCAAAACTTAGAGTAAGTAGCCACGATGTGTTGCGTTGTTACTATCATCCATAGGTTTCCGAAGATTGAAATGTTAATCAAAACGGGTAGATTTTTATTAACACAAAAATAATATTGGCATCAAATATTTAGTCTAAAAAAAACAAATCTTCTATTTTATTTTGAGGAGATCCCCGACGAATCTCTTTAGTCCAAGATCCAATATAAATGAAATTAATACGGAAGAGCATGTCAGATAAACTGAACCCACGGTAAAAGTAACGTAACAACCAGTTTCTTTAGTTGGTTGATAATGGATCAATTAAAAGATATACTAAATTCCCTTTGCAATTCTCGGAAAAAACGCAAAATATCAATGAAAGCTGTACCAAAGTCAAGAGTCGTCGCTAAGCCGTCTTCAAAATGCAATGTTGCCGATATCTGCGGCCGGTGGCGGAATATCTAAGTAATACTATGTAATAAAACGCAAACAGCACAGCCGAAAGTATTGTTGTGCCCAGCAAAACCACGCGCGTTGCTTAGCCATCTCGCAGTCTCTCCTAGGCGGCTCGAGAGTAAACTTGTGTCCACTGAGGAGCTTTTACCTGCCCCGGAATTCGCCATTCGCTGAAAACTCATCGGTGAGTTTGTCATTACAAATTTTCTTTGGATTGTAAGGAGTGGAATGCTATGCGACTGTAACACGGAGCGATTTGTTTTTTTTTTAATTAATACTTAAGCTTTCTATGTATTAAGGTATGAAGATTGTGTCAGTTTTCAATTGAAGATGAGTAACACTCACTAAGGATTGTATGAAATAGTTTATGCACTCACTGTATTTTCTAACCTCTTTAAGAAATTGCGTATGGTGCTTAGTTCATTGTTTGGACCAGGAATATGTCAGTTTGTTAATTATAATAGTGAATACTTTATATTGTAATGGCCTTATTACTTTCAATCTTAATAAATTGGAAGTGTGGCATTTAGTTACGCTTGTCTTTTGTCTAGTAAAGCATAACGTTAAATATTATTCAATACAATTTGTAGCACAATATCTTATCCCCTAGTACATAACATTAGTATAAAACCGTTCGACAAACCCTTATGGCAAATGCGGTTAAGCGGAAACATTCATTTTATTGGCAAATGTAAAAAACGTTCAAAACCACAAGCTAGTATTTCATTTCGTCGTCGTCGTATATCATTTCACCGCGTTAATTTCTCGTTAAACTGGAACTAGAAATGAGTAATATTCTAAACTCAAGATAAATATGTGTGTATGATTGTTGCATTTAATGTCGCCTGTGTATAAGAACATTTTCAAGCAAATTTATAAGAAAATTTTGCTTAAAAATGTAATTATCCAATACATTGGAGCTTTAACAAATTCGAGCACTGTACACTGAACAAGCATAAAAAGATTGAATGCTTTTTGTAAGTAATGTTAGCGTTCTAATACAAATGGAATGTGTTATTAATGTTTATGGAAATTATTTTTAATTGTCTCTGTTCCCGTAGTTTCTAAAGCATGGTGGTTATAGTGAAGGCTCACAGCTTTTTAGCAATTTAAAATCCATGTGCAATTTAGGCAATTTTATGTTTAACTAGCTGTCCCGGCAAACGTCGTTTTGCCATATAAATTATTTGTAGGGTAGAAAAAAATGTTTGGGGTGGACCACCGTTAATATTTAGGGGGATGAAAAATAGATGTTGTCCGATTGTCTACCCTGGCCGATATGCACACAAAATTTCACGAAAATCGGTCAAGCCGTTTCGGAGGAGTTCAATTACAAACACCGTGACACGAGAATTTTATATATTAGATATAACTTATAACGCGGGATAGCGCTATCCTAATATAGGGTAGTGAATAAAAAATTTCCTTTCCTGAGTTACAAAACCGAGTTGTAACGTTATACAATTTGCCACATAAACGATATCATCTAATTGCGCGGCGAGCATTGCAAGATAAAACTAATTTGCTTGATTGTAGCCTGCCTCCCAACTGTAAAGAAGTTCAGCTAACTGCTCCGTCACAGATGGTGCACCGATGGTCCGAATGTATACAACTAGGCCGCTTGAATCGTGTATGCATATTATAAACTTCAATCACATGCATATTATTAACTATGATCACATAATGCCCACCATAAAATCAAGTTCCAATACACTTAAACGTTTGAATTTATAATGCATTTTAAGCATAGATTATGTTCGTTTTCTAAAATTATGTAAAAAAGTTGTTAGTAATTAAAGTTTAATCAAGTTATAACTCAACTTTATAATGATCCAATTTATTATGTTAATGACGCGGAGGATAATTTTAAATAATAAAACCGTTTAAAAATTTTTAAGTTAAACGGTTTTATTTTCTGTTTTTTTTTTTTGTGCACTGAAAACTACAATATTGTATTGTCATCTAAATTAAATGTGTGTACCAAATTTCAGATCAATCTGACAACGGGAAGGTGCTTAAATTTCAATTTCTAATTTTGACCCAAATAAACAAATAAATTCCGTACGTGTCGAGCTAAATAAAACCGTTTAATAATAAAATTGTTATTTTTTCATAACGCATATTTCATATATAAAAAAAAAATAAAAAAATAGAAGAATAAGAAGATATGTAGATACATCTTGATTTGTCTTGTGCTGTAGTTCAATTGTATTTTCAACTGAATAATTGGAAACATTTATAGTTATAATGTATGTAATTACCGCGGGCTATAATAAGCATGATAATTATGATTGTTATTATTTGAAATAATTATTAAACTATCTATTTAAACACGTTAAAGGATCACGTTATTTCGTTTATAAAACATGTCATAATTTTATAGTATTATTCAGTACAATACTTCCGTCTTGATTTGCATCATGATCTAGTATTGTGTTCGTTTCACTTGGCCAGTGAAATTCCGTTCTCGTAAGTAATAAAATTAAAATTATCTCATAGCTCGAATGTAGATTGTCTGTTACATAACAGCTCAAAATTGCAGTTGGTCAATAGGCCGTTGGTGGTGCGTTGCTCAACTTTGCACGTAGTCAGGAGACTTACAGCGCAGTCAGGGCTGACAACTCTGTCTATATTGGGGACACAAACTAATGTGTTTATTAAATTTTTTATAATTCTGCACACATATATATGGTCATGACGATATCTTTTGTGTCTTAAGACATTATTTCAATTTAGATTTAAAATAATACGGAGAATTTTATTCATTTTACTAAAGAGTTATGTAGAAGACACTCTCTCCAGTGCTTGGTAGAACTGTGACAACCCTAGCGTATGGCTCAAAAACATTCACTTGCTTCATGTTTCTTGTAAGCGTCAAAACAAACATTTCGCAAAAAGTTTTAAGTGGATCTTGACAATAATAATGTTGTACAATAGTAAATTTTAGGTTTATGATTAATTAGACCTTTAGGATTGGAAAGAATTCGGTATGTCATTATTTGATGAAAACTGTTGCAGCGAAATGGTGAAATATAATAATAGCGATTAGATTTGTGTATGAAGAAAATGTGACCGTATTGCATTAACGTATTTAAAACTGGGTAACCGGAATGTATCCGAAAATATCCGGCCCTGGTCGTGTGGTGTATATCTCGAAAACGTTTAAGTTTTAAGGCGTATCTTGAGGCGTATCATGAACACGTGATTGTCGTTGATCTAAATACGAATGGATCGGTTGTTGGAGATCTATAGAGTATATATACGTGTCGTGAAAAACGTGAAGATTTTTAAAATTTCTCTATCGATTAAAATTTTTTTCTAGCTTGAAAAACGAGACGTACTATTTGAAATTTTTGCCATATCTATTTTCATTTCATTTGATAATGTTAACAACAAAAATGTTAAAAAATGGTTGTACACGTCACCTAAGCGACTTCTTCCAACTTTTTTTTATGCGAAAAGTAGCGAGGTACTTCCTGATGTTTGAACACCGCCGCCCATGGACTTTCTACAACCGATGGTTGAGATGCGTTGAAAACCTTTTGAAAATTGGGCTCCGGCTACTTCACCCGGAAGTATAGTACTTCCACTTGCCCAGGTCGTGGTACTTACCCGGACGAGCCTGCCCATTCGTCCAACAGCCGAGGCTGTTGCTTGGCCATTAAGGGATATTTAAAAAGTACTCATTGCGTGACATGGACGTTGATCATGGGCGTTCGAACCTGCAGGTCCGGAATGTCCAGGCGGCTGACGAAACGCTACCTCACGGCGGCTGACCAGTACGAGTGCCCCCTGTCGGCGGACACGATGGCCATCGCGCTGGAACAGCTGCGGGAGACGGCTAGCGCACGCAGCCAAGCCCTGGACGCCCTCAGGAGCTGGATGGAGCAGAACCCCAAACTTCTCGCCGTCAGAATGGGTGAGTCAGTCGCCGTCAGCGGCGGATTTGCAGTCTTGTCCGCCCAGGCTGTGTAGTAAGTCCCAGCCGCCCCTTTCTCAGAGCCCATCATATATCTTGTTATTGTTGTTGTCATCAGTGAATTTCACGATTGGCCCCGCCCCTAGTATGTGGCCGCCCTAGGCCCGGGGCCCTTGGGTCTTGGGGCAAATCCGCCACTGCAGGTCATCCAAACTGTTGTAACGAGCGAAGCTACGAAGTTTTCCAATGGATGTGTGAATGACGACATACGGAAGAAATAAACAAAATGTAGTAAGCGGTTCAGTAGTTTGGATATTGTCATTTAACCTCTGGATTACGGTTGCGTGCCGAAAGCACTATTTCACAAGTCTGCTATTGTTCCGATTCACCAAGACCGCTTTTGTAGTTTTATCTGTCAACAATAACTACAAAAGTTACAGTTGTCCATATCACTAACAGAGTTATGAGTAAAATATCCTTACTATCTTTACTAATATTGTACGCGAAAGTTTGTATGTATGTTTATTACTCTTTCATGTAAATACTACTGAATGGAATTTAATGAAACTTTACAATAATAGGCTATAATTTACAAATATATTGTGTGAATTGTCCAAAATATTACGATAATTATCAAGTAAGTAGGAAAAAAGTAAGACTGTCATCACTCTACAAACGCTATGAGAGCCCAGACAAGTCATGTTTATCAGTATGTAACATAGAAAAGTAAGAGTATGTATATTATTGCAATGTAATAATTACGTTTTTAGGGTCCCGTACCCGTAAGCGAAACGGGACCACTAACCTATCACTAAGAGTCCGCTGTCTGTCTGTCCGTCTGTCACCAGGCATGATCTGTATCCCATGAACCGTGATCGTCAAATATTTGAAATTTTCACAGATGATCTATTTCTGTTGCCGCTATACAAACAAATACTTAAAAATAGAACAAACAAAATTGAGTGGGGCTCGCATACAACAGACATGATTTTTTGCCGTTTTTATAGATACGGGTACAGAACCCTTCGTGGGCGAGTCCGACTCGCACTTGGTCGGTTTTGTTTCATATACGAATAATTTTGTTCACATCGTAGACGTGCTAACGCTTTTTTTTAGACGCAAACTTCCTCCTTCGGTTCCTGCGCACGAAGAAGTTCAGCGTGCCCATGGCCCAGGAGGCAATCGAGAGGTACATGCTGCTTCGACAATCCTGGGGCATCGCTTTCAATCAGCTAGACCACACCCTGCCCTCCATGGCGGAGCTCATCGATCTGGGGTGAATATTTGCTTTACGTCGGGGATATACGAAGATCTGGTTAATACTTATTACAGGCTAGGTGTAGAAGTTAACTAACGGGTAACCCGAAACTTCTACACCTAGCCTGTATGCGTAAATCATGGGGCATAATGTGTTCATTGCAAACAAGTATCAACTTGTTATGTGTAATGTAAAAGACACCATATTATTATTACTATTGCTATATTTTTATTAATACACTAAAAAAGAGAAATGAACTTCAAATGCTTCTTTTATTTTTGTTCCATGAAGTTTCTACTCGAGTGAGTTAATTACCCAATTGCTTCTTTGAATTGGAACATTTTTTTTCAATAGTATTAATGGTATCGATTATCTCATATAATTTAAACGGTTTTATGTTCCAGGTACATTTTCGTGAGCCCGCATAAAGATAAGGCCGGTAGGCGAGTAGTCATTTATAGACCAGGTGAATGGTGAACCCGTTTTACTTCACACATACGCTTATAATTTTAAATTGTGTCTTTATGTTGCCACTCTCACGGCTTTCCTTGCTGCAGTAACAATGAAACTTTTAAATGCTTAGCCTGTTATTCGCTGCCCATTGCCCAGAGAGTTACCGATGCCACAGAGCAGTAAATATTGGCCAGAGAGTTACCGATGCCACAGAGCAGTTAATCATGTGGTATGTTCCTTTTAACTCCTCAGGAGTCTTCGATCCCTACAAGTACACGAACCAGGACATGTGTCGCGTGATGGCGATCTGTTACGAGACCCTAATGGAGGACGAGGAGTCGCAGGTCAGGGGGCTGGTGCACTTCGCGGACGGCGGCGGCGTGGGATTCCCCCACTTGACGCTCTTCACGCCGAAGGAGGCCGTCAGGATTGTGAAGAACGGCGAGGTGAGTCTGCCCCCCCACAAATCAAATCAAAGTAGAAGCCGTGGTAGGGCCAAGCAACAGTACACCGTTGCATGAATGGGCTCAATCTCACGGAAGACGGGCGTGAAGTGGAATGGTCATACTTCTGCGTTTCGTTGATTAGTGAGGTAGCCGGGGCCCGCTTTATTATAAGGTATAGCCCTTTCCATAATGTTTATCTTTAATATTTTTTTAACCTGATAATGGGGTCTTGTTGCAGAAGCGTATACACAACCCTATGAACGAGTTACTTACTCTTCATAACACTTGCGATTATCCATCTATCATTCGTCCTATTTTCAGGCAGTTCTCTGAACCGAGTAGATAGTTATTATTTATCGTTGGTGCCTTTATGACCTTAATGTAGAGATTTGTAGTCTGTTTTTCAGTTAGCCAATATTTCACCAACTTTATTATTTTCGAACATATGTATGTTCATATGTAACAAATCAAAAACGTCAAAATGTAGGCATGTGAAATTAAAGACAATAATATACTTAGATACATTTAAGCATTATATTATTATTTTAATGATTGCTGTATAATTAAAAAAAATTATCTACAAGTGCATAAAGTTCAAAACACCCGACTGCGTAATAGCTAACGTTTGTGAAAAGGCCAAAATGCTGTTTGAAATTAAAGTTTTTCTATTAGCTGTCCTAGCTTTTCTACAATACGGTATCATAAAGAATTTTCATTACTTTAATGTTTTGAGCAACAATAATAGCTATATTGCATAATTAATTCGATTGGCATAATTAAGGATCATGACATAGAAAAAAACATGAATACAGGCTGATAAGCATTACTGTTTTCAGCCTCACAGTCAGGTAAAAAAGAGAAACACTACCGTGTTGTTCTCACGTTACGCTCTTATACAGTCAAGTATAAATTTAAACTTTCCGGTTTAAGAAAATGATATAATGGAATAACATGTTAATTTAATTACGAATTTCGTATTTAAACTTGATATTTTTTTAGTTGTAATTCGTGATTATGATTTATAATGATAATTTTGTAAAACTAGTTTGTTTTTAAAATCGTTTACAAGGTTGTCCTTACCTTAGGATTGGAAAATTTAATACGTCTAAATGTTTTAATTAATTTATTTTTTATCTGTGACGGTGGCTAGCGAGCGGTTCACTTGATGTTATCACAATAACCGTCGCCCATTGACATTTATATCACCAGTAGGATTGCAAAGGCGTTGCCTTTACCTTACCTTTTAATATAGTGGGCACCGGCTACCTCTCTCACCAGAGGAAATTCAAAACTATAAAACTTTACTACACGCCCGGCTTCTGTGAGGTCGTCGTATATTCCCGGACGGACTTGCCCATTCATGCAACAGCGAAGACAGTTGCGTCGCCCTACCACAGCTGCTGCGACGTATATATTGTAAAAATGCCAATTGATAACACTTTCAGTTTAATTGCATTCCGAAAATTTTATCCGAATTAATTGAAAGAATGTTCACATCAAATAAATAAATAATGAGTCATTGTTATGGGAAGTTTAGATAGCGAGTGAATTATTTGATTCGAAATTTTTGTTAAAAATGTGTTGCTGTCTAATTTGTTCATTACCTCCTAATATTTTCATATGAGATGGAAAACCTAATATTCAGTGTCAACATAATATTTTAAGTGGCAACCAAATATTTTATGTATTAACCTAATAATTTTAATTATAAACGTAATATTCCAAGTGTTAATCTTGACTACTTAAAAGGGGATTGCGAAGCTCGATCAAGACTTCCAATGTGGCTTTGCGTTAGAACTCCTTGAGCTTTACTATTATAGGTACTTAAAGCACGCTTAACAGCTGTATACTTTTATAGCGCACAATCCCGATGAGGCATAAAGAGATATACGGCGTGAACGTGCATCCGACGATAAAATTCGCACTGGACTTCGGCATGGCGCTCATCTCCGAGAAGATCAGGAAGCGGGTGAAGCTGTACACGGCGGTGGAGGACGTAGAGATCGACAAGAGTCTGCTCCCGCGGGAATACGGCGGCGTGATGCCCATGAAGGAGATGATCGGTGAGTTTTCAATAATCTCTCAACCGTTGACTCACCTCCATTTCGAAACCGACAAACCAAGGAAGCAATTAAAATTTGGAAATTTTCAAACTGGAAAGTTTGTGATATTTCATAGTGTATACCTATTCTGTGTCGGTTGATTAAAAAATATCACATGTCACGTTTTTTTAGTGACAATTTTTATGTCTATCGAGCTGTCGAAAGTAATAAACATCGGACAATACTGACTAATATTTGTAAATGATGATGTAAAGCTTTACTAAGGGCATTTTGAAAATCAGCACTGAGAAATTCTCAGAAATCGCTGAGCTTATTACCTTTTTGCCAAAATGTTATTTATATAGTTTTTTTGTGTATATTTTTTTTTTTCATATTTTTCTATGTAATTTTCTATTTCTTTTTGGGTTATGGCAAATAAAGTATTATTATTATTATGTGTTGGAGATATTTATTTGTTTTCTCGTCTGTTTGCGTTTATAGACAAAAATTAAACATATTGCATATATAAAATAAATATTATGAATAAAAATAAATATATATGTATATATATATATATATATATATATATATATATATATATATAGTTATCCGTTCTAGGAGTTGTTTGATCCAGCGTTACGTATGATCAGTTTTTTGTTGATCCGCTTAAATTTGTTGATCCATGCCCGATTTGTTGATCCAATACCATATGTATGTGATTTAGTGGCTCCATTCGGATCAACAACTGCTCGTCAATATCTTTTTGAAAGCAGCTACAATTTATACAAATCCACTCCGTACTTATTTGATCCAATTCAAACGGACGAATCACAGATCACAGCAGCATTCATTGGTTGAAATCATCACTTTACGCCAGTACCTACTTATTAAGAAGAATTACTGTATCTCGTGAATATGATATTTGTTGAAATACATGCTTTAAAGGGCCAGCAATATCTAGCGCTCGCGCGCTTTTCAGATTCACGTGCAACACAACCATTATATTTTAATGTAAATTCGTTGCGCGCGTGATAGATTATTTAAGAATTTACATATAATAATTAATAAAAAAAATATTGGTATCAATACTCAAATGTTAATGTTAATTATTTAATTCACGTATAAAATGAATGTACTTCTACTTCAATATTTAAAAAATAATGTTGAAGAATAAATAAGACTTGGAGTGTTCTAGTCGTATCTTCAATAGTTTATAAGTAATTTTAATAGCAATGGAGAATAGGATATTCCATATTTAAATATTCCAAGGATATTCCTTTGATAAAATATTGTACACTTGTACTTGTTGTTACTTGATAGGTAACAACAAGTACAAGTGTACAATAGTTTTAAAAATTTTATATAAAAAACAGAAAAATAATAAACAAAATTTTTCGTAATTCGTTTGTACATAAACAAGCGTCTGTTCACAAAACCGAATAAAAAATGAATTAAATTATAATTTTTTTATGATGTAACAACGTGATAAATTATGATTTTAATAAAATGGTTCCATAATGTTAACATATTTTTCTTAAATGTCATATTTTCATTAAGCATCATATTCCTAAAAGAAAAAAATTGAAAATCTTATAAACAATGTATTTATTTATAATAATTATTTTAACAATTCAAGTAATTTTTTTTACAGGAACAGAATAATCAAAAAATAAAAAAAAATCTTGATTGATTTATTAACGTTTTTCATATTTCATATGAAATATGAAAAACGTTATAATATCTAATCAATTTCATATTCAAATTCTAATAATCAATGAATCTTAGAATTTTTTTTTGGCAATCTTTTCTAAACTCTTTCAAGAAGCGTCAAAAATATTCTGGGTTAGACTACATAGAAATAATCTTAATTTTTTTTCGTCGTATTATTATTTATTCATGTGTCTAGAAAGAACTATATTTTTTATTCCTTAATATTCTATTTTATTTGTTTAAAATAATCTTTTAGAGTTCCGTACCCAAAGAGTAAAACGGAACCCTTATTACTAAGACTCCGCTGTCTGTCTGTCAGTCTGTCCGTCTGTCACCAGGCTCCACGTTGTATCTCATGTCGTAAAGGTGATAGTTAGACAGTTGAAATTTTCACAGATTATATATTTCTCTTGTGCCATATAAAACCATGATGTAAAGATTTGTCCGATAAATCGCACATTATCTCACTAATCTCACTTTAACCCACTGAATAGCACTAGCTTAAATAACACTATTGATTACATAAAAAATAATAATAATTTATTCTCTTGTAACCAAACTCTTATTTGATAATGAGTTGAGCAATGACTTGTAAACAAATTTAACAGTTAAAATAAAACTAAAATATTGTCATCCTCGTCTCTTTAAAGAAATTTTCACACTACATCATTTGTCGCATTACATTGCGACCGTTGTTGATCCGTTTCCTAGTGCAATAGTAGCAATATATTGTACAACTAGCTTGCGTCCGCGGCTTCGCCCGCACATTATATTGTGCTGAAAAATACCTACGGAACCCTTCGTGCGCAACTCCAACTCGCACTTGGGCGATTTTTTTTAACTTTATATAAACCATCATTTTACACCATAGTTAACTATAGTTTCATCGCGCTAATCTACAATGTGGTTTTTTAAGTTGATATAACTATTTTATTTATCATCCGACTTAAATAAAACTAACAATAAATATTTTTTACTACAATGCATTTGTAAAAGTTGCACTGAAATCGGAAAGGCCGTTTTATTCATGTGCGCACAAGACAAACAGATATATTTTTTATTCCTTAATATTTATTTTGGGTTTTGTTTTAAAATAATCTTTCTAGAATATCTTCCGTACAAACAACCCAGTTAAATTTTTAAGATGTATGAAACGGTTCAACCCGCCGCGCCATTGCTAATCAACTCCGATAATATTTGGTCTGTTTTGTCATCTCTGTCCAGGTCTGTCACCAAGCTCCCTCCACGTTGTATCTCATGTCGTAAGGTGATAGTTAGACAGTTGAAAAAAATATTTATTTCACAGATTATATATATAACCATCTCTTGTGCCATATAAACCATGATGTAAAGATTTGTCCGATAAATCGCACATTATCTCACTAATCTCACTTTACGAACCCACTGAATAGCACTCAGCTTAAATAACACTATTGATTAAATAAAAATAATAACAATTTATTCTAGAAATTGTAACCAAAAACTCAAATTATGCCTTTTGATAATGAGTTGAGCAGTAAATGAAACTTGTAAACTTTTAATTTTTTCAAACAGTTAAAATATAAATATAAATATAAAAATTGTCATCCTCGTTAAATTTAAAGTACATATATAAATAGGACCCAACCAGACGGAAGCCCTCGGCAGGGGAGACCATATTATTATTATTAATTGTTTATGAAATTGTCACCTTCTTCAGATCTATGGAAAGCAGAGCTGGCCAGCAAACGCGACACTTTGCTGCTGAACGACAAGATGGCGGTGCGCCTGGAGCTGTACAGCGAGGCGGCGCGAGAGGGCGCTGTTTCGGCTTTGCGCGCGCGAAACGGGTGCGCGGACAGAGATTCGGTGGGCGACGCGATGAGGGGGCTCACGGGGAACTTTAGGAAACTGGAGGTGGATTGATCGAGCCGAGACTGATGTACTTGTATAGATATAGGAGATACGTTCGATTGCAAAACGATCTGGTGGTCGCGGACCGCATGTGCAAAATTTTGTGATGACGTAACACGCACTACGTATCAAGCTTTGTTACGTTTCAATGTAATTTATATTCAGAGTTCAATTAAATAATAAAATAATGCTTTTCTCCGTGCTCATGAATAATTGTAATGCATTATATGTGGTATTGTGACATTCATTTGTCGTGATAGGGTTAGATTAGTTATGGACTCAATGATGGAATGATATTGTACCAGGGATTTTATACCTTTTAATGTAATATACAAATAAAACAACTTATAAGACTTTATTTTATTTATTAGAAACTCATTGACCACCTTTTTGGTAGTGATACACAAACCGCATTCGATTCGGCATTGAGGAAACGAATCTTCCATACAAAACGTACATTTACATTAATTATATTATGTACCACATAGGATTTGGTGTTAAATATTAAATAAAATATTTTTTGTGCGTGCGACGCTTTAAACGTTATTGAGATTTTTGCACACGGATGACAGAACTTCGTGGATCAAAAAACAATATTTTTATTAGAGACACCAAATAAATGCGACATTCGAAATAAAACTAACCGTTTACAACAGCATGTATAGAGAATTCAAGCGTCGATGATGCATACTAGATTTTCATCTTGACCGTCATACAAACAGACTTTCACTCGGTTACCAATTAGCTTGCAAGAACAGACACACAATTAAGACGTGCAAAAACCTCCACAATGTCCCTGCAAACGTTTATAAAAAACAAAGCAACAAATATGCGGCGTACACACGTGAGGGTCTTTGTTTCGACTCCAATCCCCTATAGACTTTGTTGTCCAAACCATCCCAAAACATCCACTTCTCTTTCATATAATTATTTCTCATATTGTATTATACACATACATATTTTTATATTTAATTTTTTTGTGTCGACAATTTTACGCCGGGCACGTAATCAAATGCTCGCTTGTGCGAAGTCTATATAACATTACATATACGAAATATTCCTAAAATGTTGTGAGAATAGCAATGCTCATCTAACCTTTAGAATTAAAGGGACCTAATTAAATAAATCATGATTGACGACTTTATGTCAGGAAAACTAAAACCTTTTTCCTAGTCTTATTAAAACAAGGGCCGATTTTCTCTTTCACTCCCCTACAATCAACGCGTTGGTTCATAAGCGCACTAATCTTTATTTTATGTTTCCTAGAAATTGATATTTTTAAATAGGTCACTGTAGTTCTAAAGGTATGTGTATTTTACACCCGCATTGGTATAAACATACTGGTTACCTTCTAATTTCGTTGTTCGACGTATTGCGAGATCATTGCAATACAGATAAAATATGTGACAATACTCAACGATGGATAATTTATACTAGCTTTCTGCCTACAAAGTGATCCAGACCGAATTTTTACCGTTGTCGTTTGATTTTCAAAATGTGCATGAGCTAATCAGCAATCCCGAAACGAATAATTCTTTCTAATTCAATAGCCTTCGTTTCGATATCGACAGAAACCACTTGAGGACAACGTTAATTCACAAAACGACAGAATCCACTTGAGAACACAAGAACAACACTAATTTACAATACGTGTGGTATTTTCATTGACTAAGGTAAATAAATGTTTGCAAGTATTGAAAAGTATTAGGCTTAAAAACTATTTGTGAAAACTACGACATCTTTTAAAGACGATGACCATTTCCGCCTTGAAAATAACAAAAGTAATTTGTAATTTTTAAAAAAGCACTACTTAATTGGGACTTGATTTTGGTTAGTGTTTAAAATAATGGCAGTTGTTGACGCATCTAGTAGTTTATGACGTTATATTATTAATTATAATAAGATATTCCATTTCAAAAAAAAAATATGCGTCAACTCTATCTTTAGTATAGTTTTCTTTTTATGTGAAAAGTTGCCAAGCGAGCAGACGGTTCATGTTATATTAAGTAAATACCGCCGCCCTTGGACATCTGCCACACCCGAGGGTTCCAGATGCGTTGACAACCATTTGGAAATTGGGCTCCGGCCACCTCACTCACCAGACGAAACGCGAAAGTGTTATACTTCCACTTTACAAGTTTTTACAGTTACACTTAGCCACTACTTTACAGTTAGCTCGTATGAATTCGAGTGTGTGCGCCTGACATAATTAATCCCCTTCATTATATTTTATGCTAACAAATCGTCAAACTGTTCTTGGCCTAAAAGTCTGAATATACAAATATCGGCAGGCATACACTTTAAAAAATAAACAAATCCCAGAGCAGTGTAATCTTTTAAGTGTTAAAAAATCTAGCCTTTTAGTTAGGACATGGTTTACAAAAGCGGTCATCGTCCTTTTACTGTTATAACATTGCAAAGAAGCGTTAAAAAGGCATACTGGAGTAATAACCTTAACGATTCCATAATGTAGCTGTTGCGCTGTATATAAAATAAGTTAAAACACAAAAATACAATTGGCAAATTGTCATAAAAAAATTTTTATGTCGGTGCCAAGTGCTTTCCAAAATGGCTTACATGAAATTTCATATGAAAATATTAGAAATCGACATCTCTCTAAGTGCTAATTTATATATAAAACTGTGCGTTCATTATATTCATGCCAGGAAACAGAATATTCTGTGTAAATATTGCTTTTAATGTGTGTACATACGGTGCTACGTCAACTGCTATTTTAATACTAAGTCAAAACTGCTACAAATAACTCGGTAAAATGGTTAATAACAACTATTTAGGTAAACATATAATTACTATAATCATATTGGTGTTTCTTGATACAAGGCTTGTTGCATTGATATGTATATTGGTTGCGATGCAGCAATTGGGTACAAGTGTGAAATTTTAATAAGTAAAGATATCCTGAACAATCATTTCATAGACGATGATTTTCATAGAGAAATGTGAAAGGAACATTTTAGGGGAAGTTAGAATGGTTTCTGTATAATTAAGTATTCATTGTAATTATTAATAATATGATGAAAATAATTTGGAATCATTTTAATGTACAATGAGGTTATACCTTCGTTAAGGAATAAGATCCCAACAAAATGAAATGGACTAATTCGTCATTTTGGGAGCAAAAACCTTATTATTTTACGTATTTATAATTTGTCTTGTTTTGTTATTAATATGTATGAATTTTATTGAGAAAAACATTGATAACAATTAACTACAAGTTAATATAACGCGATGAAACCTGTGATGAGACGCCACAAAGACATGCCTAAAAGTCAACAGTTTATATCTCTCGTGTATATACGTGAATAATAATAATAATTTTATTCAAACTAATTTACGTCGGACGTTTAAAATTACAATAAGCCGCCATAAAATCCGTAAATTAGCTTTATCAAAACAGTGTCATTCTAAACACACTTGAATAAATGATAAATAATAATTAATTGTTGTATTCTTTATCTGGTTCATATCAAATGATTATTCAGGACGGATTAAAATATCATTGTCTGTCATTGCTCAATATATAGGTTCTTCACGAGATTTAACTTTTCATTTAATAATAACACTTTTTCTTTTGAAAACAAAAAAAAACATTTTGAATCGACCATCCTAAATAAAGAAATGAAAAATTAAAAAAAAAATACTAACAACTAAATCGATACAGGTTGTAAAAGACATTCCTATTTTGTCTTAAAACCATGACAACATGAGATAAAGGCAACATCTACGACGAGACGATACAATACGGAGACTGTCAAAATAAGGCATCAATAATTGAAATGGACAAAAATATTTTTTTGTTTTTCGTTCACTATTGTGTCACGTCATTCTAACTTTAATGTCGAAATATTTCGCTAGAACAACAAAGCTCTAAGTTATCAATTACTATATTATTTCTTTTTTTTTTTCTTTTTTTCTAATTGTTATTATAAAAAGAAAAATTTTTAAAATCACCCGAAAAACCTATACATAAAACCATTCATAAGAGATAAACGGTAACAATCATATAAATGAGTATTTTATAGTTGCTGTCTTCACGCCTCTGGTCATTATGAATCATGACAGACAATTCGAATCTATTTTATGTATAAATCTAGATCTAGAGAACACTCGAATGAGTAGTGGTTATACTAACTCTGATGCTATTTTCGAGGGTCGATGTTTTTCTTAACCATTCTATTCACTAATTACTCATTTGAAGGAACTATTGCAGGAAGTAACATGTAAAATAATTTCATGAAAGAGATCGCGTAGAGTACGCTTGGGACGCGCAAGCTTATTTACACGCGTCTTAAGTTTCCGTGTTGTTCTCTCGCTCGCACCGCATTCCAAAAGACCTACTGTCTCGCTCTAACACGTGTCAATGCGTAATCGCTAATCGCGAATTCGTTTCGCGAACATACCCTTTGAAGTTATACTTCTTTTGGCGCGAAAAGTTATTTTTACGATGCGCGATGCCAATTTCACGGCGACTTTTCGACATTCGCCCATAATTCCAAGTTATTTAAGCCGCTATCCGTTACTGGGACGCTTTTGGCTGTTTTTTTTTTAGTTAGTTTATTCTTTTGTTACGCTAGGAAGTATAACTTCGTATCCTACAAATACGTGTTTCTTTTTACATATTTGTAAGTTCCATAACTTGACACCAGCGCGCAATAAAGCTTTGCAAAGCCCATAAGAAAGTTTGTACATCGTGTACAATAATAGACAAAACATAATACCTGATCACTTGTAACAATAAAGAGTGCGGAAGACTGACGGTACAAATTGTTGCCAACACATAGAATCTATTTTCGATTTCAACCCTTTTGTAATGATTAAAATGTCTGTAATCGTGTGTACGATCCCAACTGTTCAATGGAATGTGGTAACTTTTTTGCCGCATCAAAAGTTTAAGATAAATAAAAACTTTGAGGTGGGGAGATAAACAACAGCAACATCAAAAATTTACATGAAATATATATGTATATATAATATATATTATATTTATATAATATTTATCATTAATTTAGAATATGAACATGTTTAATGACTAACTCGCCGCTCCTTGGCAAATATCCGTGTATTGAACGCGTAGTGCGATCGTTTCTTATATAGAAGTACCGCTAAAACGTTTAGTACTAACATGAAGGGCACGAAATTGGCACGAAACTTACACGCTAAACTATAATAAAACCTACAACAGTTAAAATTAGCCATAGACTTAACGTTATCGCGTAAACTTAATGTGAAATATACCGAACGACCTAATCTGGTTTTATTGGTCAATCTAAAAACTAAACGCCCTATTCTCTGCTATTAAAATAAATGTAAGTACATACTTGTAAATTACTAACAAATTACATCAACCAGTGTATAATATCTATCCATTTGGCACCTGATTTGGCAACGTTCACGGTGGCCACGGGTCGGCGGGCGTCCGATACGATTCTACAGGCTGTGCGAGAAATCAACCGTAACCTATAGACGTTGTTTTATAGACGTAGGTAGTTTTAGTACATCCTGTACAACACGGCGTAGACGATTCGACGTATCCTAGGGCTGAATCGCTATTCGTTTGGGCTCTCTGTGTTTCGAACCACACCCAATGGTTTCGGTTAGATTGCGAGCCCGCCCGTGCCTGAAACTATCCACTAGTGGAACAAATCAACATATAATCCCATACGTTTCCATACATATCGCTAAGCACGTACGCGTTGCGCAATGGCAGTATATAGTCTATAGCTTTTCCGCATGTCAACAGTCTAGGAACTTCGATTGCGCGTTGTTGCTTGTGACGTCAGACGCGTGGGCAGTGACGTCGGGAGTTGTGCAAGCGTGACGTCACTACTTTTCATCATCATCACACTTATACAAACAACATTAATTCTAACCAAACGATACATTAACTATGAAAGGCATATTTATCGAACATTCAAATGTCTGATTGAACGTTTCCTTTACCAATTCGTTACGATGGTAACATGTCGAGTTGTATTCCGAATATTTCATGATGTAATCTATACTGCGATATTCGTAATGTAGAATGCTTGATACGCCTACAAAGGGAGATCGGCCGAAATAGATTTGCGGGCCCGGCGAATTGTTATATCACCGAGTTGTGAAAACTTTGAGGGGCTTTATAAAATCATTTGCAAAATATATCCGCACATATCAAACGGTAACAAGTTCTGTGCACGAACCAATCACAAGATACACGGTACGGGTAATCTTACACCGTACGACGTAAAATTCCATTAGTTATAAAATGGAGGAAACCCGATCATTCGTCGTCTATCGTATAAAATCTAACAAACAACTAAAGAACATTGGAAAATATGAGCTATTTTAACGATTTTATAACTAAACATTTACATTTCAGTTTTAAATTGTAACACGTTTGCATTCGACTGTAAAGAATCGAAAGTTATGAACGATAGTCTGCTCAAAACTGTCGGCACAGCCCACAAAAGTTTTAGGAAAATACAGCTTTCGAAACTACAACATTAAATTGTGAGGAATGCGAGATTATAGATTTACAGTCTTAATATTTCAACGTCATCGAGCGCTTTCTGTTCCTATTTTCGGGTGTAAATGCGGATTCACGTATACGATATGAAACTGTATACCGTTCGAATCGTCAGAGCGCCGAATAGCGCGTGTTATATTAATTCCTATGGATATTTTCTGCTACCAACAATTAGTATCAACAGACTATAGCGCTACGAAACTGTTAAATGTACTTATTGCCATCGAGTTCCCTAAACAACTGCCCAAATTAGATGCCACGTACATAGCGGGCGTCTTTAAAGATCAATTTAATAGATAATGCAGTAAAGTAGTAATTATTTTTCAAAAACACTTTTCCCATTGGAATAAAGTCCTTAACAACCCTATTGACCGATGAATGGTTCCTAGATCAAAATTGACCTGCCGGCGTCGATTTGTCGTCATCAGCTCTACCTACTCGTCAATAACCAAACCGCACTAAATGCCAAAAGACAGTCGCTAGATGGCGCTAGTAGTTGGCGCTTCTCGTGACCAAACCAAATGCAACTGGCCGTTCGCTAGATGGCGTTAATGGTTGGAGCTTGTAGTGACTAAGCCGAATGCAACTGGCCGGTCGCTAGATGGCGTTATAGGTTGAAGAGTTAAAAACCAGCGCGAGTAACTCTAAACGGTGACCTCGCAGGTCACGTGTTTCTTGACCCCGTAGTTGCTCAGTAGAAAAGGCGTAGGAACTAGTTCGATGCGCCGCCGCTGATCCCTCCGGTGCAGAGAGACGCATCTCTCGGCGGCCGCCGCCACTGCCGAAAAAATACACTGTTATACTACCGCCGTAGGCTAATATGGCTGAACGGAATAAAATATAATATATTATTGAAAAATAATAACTAATTGGTCAAAAAACTGTTGGATGCAAATAGTAGTGGTAGGGCCACGCAGCAGCCTAGGCTATTGCACGAATGGGCAGGCTCGTCTGGGTAAGTACCACGACCTAACAGAAGACCGGCGTAAAGTGGAAGTATAATACTTTCGCGTTTCGTCTGCCGTAGCCGGTGCCGGAGCTAAATTTTCAAAAGGTTGTCAACGTATCTGCAACCCTCGGGTGTAGCAGATATCCACGGGCGGCGGGATTCACTTAACATCAGGTGAACCACCTGCTCGCTTGGCAACTTTTCACATAAAAAAAGATGATGATGGTCAAAAAAACTCGCATCCATATAGAGTCAGTAATACTAAAACTATTACTGACTCTATATGGATGAACTAGATTTACTAAGGCTTGGTAATGTCAGAAACGCCATTATCGTAAATTCATAAAAGAAAAAACTTGATTCTGTCAAGACTGATCTAGGCAAAAGTTATGTCAGAAAAATGTGATGACTCTGCAGAAGAAACTTTTGTCAGATGCGTTATCGTAAACTGATTCTGTCAGCTACTAGGATGTTATGTCAAAAATGTCTAATCTCAATTTTGGCACTTGATGTACGTTTGTGTAGAGTACACCCTCGTTTACGTAATTTATCATGTTTCGTAAGTTTATGTGTAGACGAAACCGTGACGCAGTTGCCAAGGTATTCGCTTCGGCGCGGTGATTCGTGGGTCATGGGTTCGATTCCCAAACGGTAAAACTATTCGTGTGACCCACAGATGTGAATGTAAAACGTCCATACAACACAGGATATTGTTATCCCACAGTGAGGGTGCAATATTTTCGAAAGAGAATACCACAAGAGATCTTTCTAGGTCAGAGTTATCGTTTGGATTCACCCGACCCCTTCCACGTTGAAATACTGTGTGTGTGCGTGCGCGCGTGCGTGCGTGCGTGCGTGCGTGCGTGCGTGCGTGCGTGCGTGCGTGTTTGTGTGTTTGTGTGTGTGTGTACGTACCGGGCACGCGCGCCCTGGGCAGCGTGCACGTGTGCGCGGGTCAGACCCAGTACTGGTTGCGGCGCAGCATCGGGTTCGCCGCAATAGAGACGCCCGCGTACGCCGACTCGCTCGCCTCGTAGCTGCTCCATTCCTCCGCCTGCGAGTGCAGAGCACGCCTTTAATATAATGTCCAAGAAGCGGACATTGAGGACGGGAATGCGTGGAAATGAGTCTTGCTCTGCACTAGCAAGACCCCTGGCCGCTGCTCATGTTATACCTAAATAAGTTTGTATAATTGCATCACAAAAAAAAAAATAACGAAAAAACGGAACAATGCCGAAGAGTTTCCCGCCGGTTCTTCTCTGTTCGGGTCTAGTTTAGTGAACCGGTGGTGGCTTTTTGACGTTCAATAAGAGCTATATTGAATAAAGATATATTGACTTTGACTTTGAATTGACCCTCTACCTTTGGATGTCGATTGAATGACGACCGCGAAAGACTAGCTCTGTTGGGGCGGCGGGCGGAAAGGCCAGGTCCGGGGAAGTACCGCTGAATCACAGAAGACCGGCGTGAAGTGGCCGCGTTATACTTCTGCGCTTCGTCTGGTGAGTGAGGTAGCCGGGGCCCGCATCATGAAAAGTGTGGCAACGCATCTGCACACCCACGGGTGTTGCAAATGTCCACTGGCGGCGTCTATCACTCAACATCAGGTGAACAGCCAGCTCACATAACAGCCCCTTCTTTTTCATTGACCTTTCGAATATAGCCACGGTTAGGTTGAACATAGCGGAGAAATCACGTCGGCTCACATTTACGGCGAAAGGACAACCGTCTCCCATGTGTTGTTGAACCGAGAGGGGTCACGTCAACTCATATGTGCCGCATAGTATTCATATGAACTATAAGGATTTGTCACGTCATCCCATGTCTGACGTGGTCACATCAACCCATGTCTGATATGGTGTCACGTCAACCCATGTCCGACTTGGTGACACGTCAACCCACGTATGACGTGGTGTCACGTCAACTCACGTCTGCGCCATACGGGTATCTGGCGTTGAGGTCCGGCGGCGCGTCAGGCAGCGGGGTCACTTTGCACGCCACGCTGCCAGCGGACGGCAGCGGTGTGCTGGCACCGGTGGTCAAAGACTGCTCCGACGGCACGTATCTGAATCACGTTGTCACGTTAGTCATTCCGTTGGTAAAAATCTGTACCATTTTGGGTTTTTATAAGAAAGTGATTCGTAGCATATTTAATAGAACTTCAGCGATAGGCCCAGTCGCTTGGTTGTTGCTCGATTCATATAGGCACATCCTTGTCCATTCTATTGGGCAAAGAGGCGGTCGATTTTTATTTGTTGAGTAGACAACTGATTTTTTTTTGTTGCAGCTCTGACCTTAAGGTTTCTTGAGTAAGTAGAGCTAGCTATGCCTGTTTACTCCATCAATGTGAAAACTTATATTTAATCTATATAATTATATATATTATGTATAAGAGATTTCCACCGATAATTGACTCATCACGATATCATTGGAACCATAAGGCGAAGAGACTTGAAATTTGGTAGGAATATTCCTTTCGTCGAGGTCAGCTAAGAACGGATTTTACGAAATTCCACAAAACAACGTTTGCGGGATCAGCTAGTATCTATGTATATTATGATTATCTATATATATTACGGATATCCATGTGCGGCGGTAGTTACTTAACAACTGGTGAACCGCCAGATCGCTTGCCGCCTTCTAACATAAAATATGTCAGCGCTGTACGAGTAGCTGAGAACAGAGCTGTTTAATATTAAGTGAGAAGGTGTACCGCGTCGATGCCTGCACCTTTGCAACTGCGAGGTTACACTCGACGTCTTTGAAGCGAAAGAATCGCTGATGTGTCGAGTGGCCGTCGATGCGTACCGCTTTATTGGCGGCGTGGCTTGGGTGGGGGAGGGCATGAGGTGCTCGGGCGGCCGCGGCAGGGGAATGGGGGCGACCGCGCCCTGCCCCTGCCCGTGGATCTTCACCAGGGCGTCCCCATCCCGCGCCAAGTAGCGTCTGCACCTCAGCAGCCCCGCTATGAACACCGCCGCAAGCACCACGCCCGCGATCGCCATCACTATAGTCACGTAGTACGAGGTCGAGTCATCGTTGCTCACCTGCGACAATGCAAAAATACGCTTTTATTTAAAACTAGCCTTTCGCTCGCTTCAAAGCCCTTAAATAAATATCTATCCCGTGTAAGAAGCCTTTGTAACCCTTTTTCCAATTAAAAATGGCCTATGTCCTTTCTCAGGTTCTAGACTATCTGTGTACCAAATTTCATTCGGTTCGGTAGTTTTGGAGTGAAAGCGAGACAGACAGAGTTACTTTCGCATTTATAATATTGGTATGGATTTGCATGAAAAACAATAAAAATAGCGCGAAAGATGTGAAACTTCGAGTGCCACGCATTAACGCTCGCCGTCTCTTTCTAATCTCCCTCCCCAGGGGCGTTGAACCTTTAACGCAACAGTGCTTACATATCCCTCCATGGTAGCGTAAAACGTTTAACGCAACCTTGTTGAAAGTCGCATTAGAAGTTTCACTACATTGTTTTTAGCATTGCTTCAAATACTAAAAACAATGTTGATAAAAGACGTTAAGATTTTCATTGGTGTGGCAATCAGCCGGTTTGGCTCAGTGGCTAGAGCGTCAGGCCGCGAATGCCGAAGACGTGGGTTCGATTCCCACAGCGGCGACAGTCTTTTCGTACTTTTTCTACAAATTTAATAGAAGTTTCACTTCAAAAAGTACAAAGCTTTCCGCCGCTGTGCGAATCGTGTTCGGGATTCGCGCCCAGACGCTTTGACCACTAGACTAAACGGGCGATTGCCACGCTGTATTCTTTTTTTTTTTCGCAATCCAAGCAATGTTTGGTGCAACGCATTTTTGTTACTATATATTTATTTATTCATTTGTTACAAAAATTAGAAACAAAACCAATCGATCGTTTCAGGTTATGATAATCATTCACACGTGACAGTAATTGAAATTTATCTTTTTATCTACATAGTAGTATAGCTGAACTGTTTGTATGAGATTCAATATCTGAACAATATGTTTGTGAAATTAAATGCTTTTACAGGATATTTTCAGTTCTTAACAGCCGTGATAGCTCATTATCCGGGCGCTCGCTTCTATTTCAATATAATCGAGCAACCTGAGTTCGATTCTAGTGCCGGCGCCAATTAAATTGTTAATTTTAAGCGCTGACTTATCACATCCTCAGCGGTGAAAATCCTGCATATTTTAGAAATAACAACGAAAAAAAATGTTTAGTGTCGCGAACTATATATATTACATTTACTTTTATCGGGTGTTATATATAGTTGACTCACCGGGACACCTTCGTGGCCTGCGGGATCGTTGGGCCCCGGCAAATTCTTCTTGGACCTGTTCCCGATGAAGACCTTGACTTCGCCCGCGGCCGGCTGGAATATCGAGGCGGCGAGGAGGAAGCGGAACACGTCCTCGTAGCCGTTCAGCTCGCTCGGCTTCCTCTTAATGACGTAGTAGATCACGCCGGCCTTGACGTCCTCGTGGGTGAAGTAGGCCACCTCGCGCTCCCTGGCGCTGGTCTTCTCCCCCGAGCTCCTGATGATCTTCTTTATCGTGCCGTGCTTCGGCCGCCTCATGATCGTGTACACCGGATCGCTGGCCGTTAGTTTGGCCAGTTCGGTCGCGTCCACGCTGTTCAGGGTGAGCTTGGCCTTATCGCCGTCCACCTTCAGGTCGCCGAGCACCATGAGGGGCTGCACGACCACATCTATGGTGAACGGCATCGTCGAGTTGCTGTTGTGCGCGTACGCGATCAGCTCGAAGCTGTCGTTGGCGGCCGTCATGTCGTTCTGCATGTATATCACGACCTTGTCCGTGATGTCCTTGTGGGAGAAGTAGGTAACGGGGCTCCGGCCGACGTATATCAGCCCGTGGAGCGGTTGGCGCGTGACGTTGTACCACACTTTCGACTTCTTCGCGTTGGTCTCCACGTGGATCTGGTCCGTGGCCACGGTGGCCACGTTCGAGCCCTGCTGCAGGTGGATCGGGTGGAGCGAGGTGGCGTTCAGCACGACGGGCACCACGTCGATGGTGAACACGGTGTAGGTGGGCTTGAACTGGCCGTCCCACACGCGGAAGTAGAACGTGGCCGTCTGCAAAACGCCCGAGTGCTCGTACACCACGCGGCCATCGTCCACGTCGCGCTGCGTGAACTTGTTCACAGAGCGCGCCTCGTCCGCCGTGCGATTGCTGTCCAGCATCACGATCCTGCCCTGGGTGGGGCCGCTGATGATGTCGTACAGTATTCCGGCCGGCTCCGTGTCGGCGTCCTCGGTGAGCAGGTCGCCCCGGGTGATGGTGTAGTTCTCCCCCTGCACCACCTGTATCTGGGGCGAGTCGGTCAGCAGCCGGAACGGCTGATCGTTGACCGGCTGGACGGTTATCGGTATGGTCACGTTGCACAGGAGCACGTAGTCGGGCAGGAGGTAGAGCGCCATGTCTATCTTGTCCGCGGCGGTGTCGGAGCCGTCGTGCTCGTAGCTCACCGCGCCGGATTCGAGTTGCGCTTGCGTGAGTGACGTCACCGGCGGCTCCAGCTTCCCGTGGGCCGGCTGCGACCACTGGCCCTCGAGCTGCGGCTGCCTAACGCCCGCCTGCGTCTCCAGGTACCCTATTACGTTGGTCACGTTCACCACCAAGGGCACCTTGTCGCCCTCCTGCACCCTGATCTGCGGCACGTGCACGTACTTCGAGAGGCCGCCGGAGGAGACGGAGATCTCCACGTTGAAAGTCTGCCCAGTGAGCGGTTTCGCCAAGGCCGCCTCAACAGTGAACACGAACGAGTCGTTCGTGTACAGATCGGAGAAGGGGTGCGTGTGCTCGTAGTAAACGAGGGTGTTGTTCACGTCCCGCTGGGTGAACAGCTTGATGGGGCGGTGGTGGTTGTCGCCGTTGATCATCACCAGCCGCCCGAGGGTGGGGGCGCGCTCCACCTTGTAAACGATCGTCCTGGTGGGGTCCGAGCACTTGGCCATTAGGAAGTAGTTGTTCAGGGGCTCCCGCATGAGCGGGAACACGCGAAGTTTGTGCTGCCTCACCAGTTTCAGCGATACCGACTTGGTGGATATGAGGAACGTGATTTTCGAGAGCTCGTGCAGGCCGTCGGTGACGTTGAAGATCATTTTCCCTTTGGTTCCGTCTGAAAAAAATCGGTACGTGTTTAATTAAAGAAATAAATAGTTCGTATAAATGAGATGGTGACGGTGACTAAACAGCGTGTCCAGACAAACAGTTTTTACATAAGATTTACATAAAAAATTACACGAATTAAATTAACTTTTAAAAAATTAAGGAAAGCAAAAACGTTACACACTTATCCAATATAGATGCAAATTCTTTTTATTCAAAGTTTTAATGATTTGTGGTCTTATTTGAAAACGGGAGACGCGGCGTGAACTGGTCGTGTTGAGGAGAGAGGAGAGGAAACAAGAAGGGATATACGGGTGGGATACGGAGGTACCCACTTGTATGCACGAATATCACGTTGCCAAGGTCGATGTCGGCCTGCGTGAAACGGTGCACAGGTGTGTCCAGGTCGCCCTTCATGGCGATGTACCCGGACACGATGTCCAGCACGCGGATCGTCACGTTCTCCAGAGGTGTGTCGATGTCGTTCACATCTGTCGCGCGTGGAGTTTATTTATTAATGTTTTTTTTTTTCAAGGAAAACCAACAGCTATATAATAAACTAAGAAATAATAAAAATATAAATATAAATCTGTAGTTTTATGGTGGTAGGGCCACGCAGCAGCCTCGGCTGCTGCACGAATGGGCAGGCCCGTCCGGGTAAGTACAACTACCTCACAGAAGACCGGCGTAAAATGGGAGTGTGACAAATACTTTCGCGTTTCTTCTGGTGAGTGAGGTAGCGGGAGCAAAATTTTCAAAAGGTTGTCAACGCATCTGTAGCCCTCGGGTGTAGCAGATGTCCATTGGCGGCGGTATTCACTTAACATCAGGTGACCCGTCTGCGCGTTTGGCATCTTTTCGCATAAAAATAATAAATAAATAAAAAATAAATCTCTAATCCATTAAAGTTTCCACCAAAAGCATGGTCAAGTTAATTTTCGAAGTTACACTTCTTTAGGCGCGTTATGAAAAAATTATGGGAGTGAAATTTACAGATGCGTGCGCATCACTGTAACGCAAAAGTAACACCGTTGAAGATGCCCGCTAAGCCGCTTATAAAAGATAGATGGCAGCATATTCTCAAGCACATTCTCCCGTTACAGTTTTCAATAAAGAATGAAAGATTTGCGGGAAATTTTGAATTAATAAATTGACCTTTAACCCTACGGTAGTTTAGGGTAGGGTAGGGCCACGAAACTTCTTCGTCCGTTGCACGAATGGGCAGGTCCGTCCGGTTAGGTACCACGAGCAAGCTATAGACCTTCGTCAAGTACAAGTGTTACTCTTCTGCGTTTCGTTTGGCGATTGGGGTAGCCGGGGCCCACTTTACTAAAAGGTTGCGACGCATCTGCATAACTACGTGCGTTTCATATATCAATGGGCGGCGGTTCTCGCTTAACGTCAGGTGGGCCGCGAGCTCGCTTGATCTCGCGTGACAAAAAGAGACTCACAAAGCTCGTTCCTAGTGAGCGTGAAGGTATATCCACGGGCGGCGGTTCTCGCTTAACGTCAGGTGGGCCGCGAGTTCGCTTGATCTCGCGTGACAAAAAGAGACTCACAAAGCTCGTTCCTAGTGAGCGTGAAGGTATATCCACGGGCGGCGGTTCTCGCTTAACGTCAGGTGGGCCGCGAGCTCGCTTGATCTCGCGTGACAAAAAGAGACTCACAAAGCTCGTTCCTAGTGAGCGTGAAGGTATATCCACGGGCGGCGGTTCTCGCTTAACGCCAGGTGGGCCGCGAGCTCGCTCGATCTCGCGTGACAAAAAGAGACTCACAGAGCTCGTTCCTGGTGAACGTGAAGGTGCCGCCCTCCCACACGCAGAGGCCCGTGTTGGCGGCCACTATCGGCGTCTCGTCGTTCACCGGCGCCACGTTCACCGTCATCACGAACGGCTCGCTCACCTTGCCGCCCTCCGTTATCGCCACCAGCTTGATGAAGTCCAAAGGCTCCTCGGAGCCGTCGTTCACGTACTGCGGGGAGAGCGCGATGATAAAATTCAAGTGTCTCCATTCAATAAAGCGTCACACTCAATAATGGATTGCTCAAACAAGTAATTTTTTTATTAACGAAAAACAAAACCGACTTTTAATATCTTCAATCGTACGGGTAACGCATATGCCTGTGGGCTGTGGATAGGGTTGTCAACCATACTTTATAATAACGTAGGTATGTTACTTTATTTTAGGTAAATATAATTTGTACTTTTGTGTTAAAAAACTATTTTGCATATTAACTGTGATGCATAAAATAAAACACAATTTATGTACCTATATGAATAATTATAGAACTTTTATACTTCTACGTTAAAAAAAATATATTTGGTAGGAAAAATTTATCACATTTTTTCTTATGTGTTAATTTGTCTTTTCATCGTATTTTTAAACCCAGAATCTTTGTGGGATCTTTGTCTGTGTGTGCTACTGTATGTTTTCACAAATTTTCATTGTAATTAAAAGTGAGTTGCTTTTTTATTTTAATTGTGGATGTAGATAGCTTCAATTAAGAATTTTAGTATAGTCAAAAACTTCGAGTTTGTGCTAGTAACATACAAAAATATATTGAAAAAAAAATATTTTTTCTTCCAAACACTTTATTTTTTCTCCACTTGAAAAATGTGTCAGTTGGCATCCCTAGCTGCGGATATCAATTAACATGTGAGCCGCCAGCCCGATTGCCATCTTCTAACATAAAAAAAAAACACCTACATAGTACATCTAAAAGCGATACAAAGCCCATTTCGAGCCCATCCAGGCTCAAACTCGCCTGCACGTCGCCCGTGTTCAGCGTCAGCACCGGCAACAGCTCCATCTCGCGGCCGCCCATCACGACCCGGCCGTACTTGGGCCCCTCGACCACCCTGTACGAGACCACCTTGCCGCGGTAGTACTCGGTCACGGTGCGGAACGCGTCCGGCCTCAGGCTGACCGCGGCGCCCTCCACGACCGCCGCGGGCGCCGCCTCCACGTAGAACCGCTCCGGTATTATCAGCACGGCGAGCTCTACGCCGCGCAGCCACGCGATCCCGTTGGTGACGTCCATCGTGATCCGGTCGCGGGTGCGGTTCACGCCGGACTGCACGTAGACGAGCCGGTGGGCGTCGATCGTCGCCTGGTCGAAGAGTTGCGCGTGCGCCGGCTCCCCAGCGCCCTCTACGTCCAAGTCCACCGCGCCAGGGGCGGGCGTCACCTCCAGCCAGCCGTAGCGCGGGCCGTCGGTGACGCGGTACACGATGTTAGACGGCTCGATTTGCGGGTGCATCACCTGGGGATGTTCAGACGGATATACAAACACTTTCGGCGCGGTTCGAACATGCGTCTTCTGGTTTCGCGACCGGCCTTAACCGGCTAAGCCTGATCAGAACTGTCAAACAATTATCAGGGAAATTTAAAGTTTCATCTTGAGTGCAGGGACTACACTTTTTTTATTGTTTTTAAAATCATTTCCCTTACTGTAGGATAACATTATCCTGTTGTAAGAACGGAATTCGAACCCGCGACCCTCGGTGGGCAAAGCCTTAATTTGAAATTGTGCCGGCACCTTAATTTGAAATCGGGTTGCTCGAGTATATTTAATTAAATGTTGCTTAAATTTTTTTAATGTTTTTTACATGGAAGTCTGCTATTGTATGAAAAGGACCGGTTGCCTCACGGTAGACCTTACTATTGAAATTCACCTGAAAACGAGGTAGCCAATACTAACCTGCTTTGCAATGTCAGAACAACGCAACAGCATGATTCTATTGCACAAATGGACAAGCATGTCCGGGGAAGTACCACGGTCCCCCAGGAGACCGGCGTGAAGTGAAACTATTACAATACCGCGTTTCGTTGAGTGAGGTAATCGGGGCTCACTTCGTCCATGGACGGCGGTATTCTCTTAGCATCAGAATTTCAAAGTAACCACCTCATTTCAACTGGTGCCGTGGATCCTAGGTGGCGACATGTACTTAACACTCAAAATAGTTTTACTTAAAGGCACGATCTAAATTATAATTTATACTTTATTATAAAAGTCACATTGCATTTTTTTTTATTAGCTACTGATTAAGTTAGTAAAAATAAAAATACCAGAAAAAGGACACACACACACACACACACCGAAAAACTAAATTTAACAAAAAATAAAAGATTTGTATAATACACATAACAGTAAACCAAAAAACAATCAATTGCGAAAATCTCAAAACAAAACAAATTGTTCGACATACCTCCAAGATGTCCTTAGTAATATTGACGCTGGTGGACTCCTCAACCAGGAGCGGCTTGTTTGTGGTCACCTTTAAGGGCTCCCAGTAACTTGAAGGGAATATCTTTATAGGATACGTGCCCTCGCCCCAAGTTTCCAGGCACATAACTTTGAACCTATAAACAAATATGTAAAATAGGCAGGACTATACGGATAATTTATGTGGTGCTAATTTTTATAATAATTTATATCATAAAATCACTCGTATCACAGTCTTCAGTCGTATCCTGGAGCTTCAATGTTTTCAATGTCTTATATAAATCTATTAATTCTCACTGGTTGGACATTCGTAAAAACGTCATTTGATAATAGCAACACGCCTTGACTGAATGTAATCGACTTTTTTTTAATCAAATTGACTGTTTTGATTAGACAAGAACCAGTAGAAACATTTCTGTTTATTTCCAGAGATACACGACGATTTAACTGTGATAGGGCCACCAAACAGTCTTCTCTGTTGCAATAATGGGCAGATCCTTAAAAGGTGGAAGGCGTTCAGAGGAAGTGTTATAATTCTGCGTTTTGTCTGGTGGGTGAGGTAGCTAGGCCCACTCTTTTCAAAAGGTTGCAATGCAATCATAGCCTTTCAGGTTATACAAATGTCATTGGGCGGCGGTTATCATTTAACATTTAATGTTTACGTTTTTGTCACGTTATTTTTGAAAAAAAAAAAATATCTACGTGATCCTAACCTATACGATAGCAAATGATCCTCGGCATTACTTCAGCAAACGAGGTAAACCGTCAGTGGCAAGGCAATTTTAATTGCCAACTAGGTCGAGAATGGGTCTGTAAAACGATTGAAAAGTATTAATAAGTAATAAAAATAAACAACGCCGCCACGTTCTGTTACATACCGTAAACGGGATGTAACAGAGTCGTAAATCGCTTGCATTTAAATTTGAGCAAGACGCTCCACCATATTCAGTGATAAATGTGCCGTAAGCTCTAAGAGATAGGGTCGCGAATCGCGTGCTGGGTTCCGAACCTGAAGCGGTCGCTCGGCACGTGCGGCTCGCGGTGCCGGTACGCCACCCGGCCGGCGGCCACGTCCAGCTGCGAGAAGCCGGTGGCGCCCACGCCCTCGCCCACCTCGACGGCGCCGTGCTTCGGCGGCTGCGTCACCGCGTAAACGATATCCTCCTCCAGGCAGTTCATGTTGGTGTCGACCTGGTGGCGAGAGATGTGCGCCAATTAGCTAACCCTCGCAGGACTACTCGCCGATATCCCGAAAAAACATCTTCAGCTTTCAGCACGATGCCCCCTGAAATCTTGAAAACATCTCGCCAACAGGCTTTCGCTATTTCAACGTTAGAGTTTTTGGCGTGAAAAGGGGTACGGTCACGGGTAAACGTATCGAATAGAATTCGTACACCACGGCAGGGTAAAATTTATACATGGTGGTAGGGTGAAATTTGTACACCACAGTAGGGTGTAATTTGCACGCCATGGTAGGGTAAAACCTGTACACCATGGTAGGGTAAGATTCTCCCGTGAGGCTTACACGTCTTTAGGTCCAGGATAAACGTGAATTTAAAATATTTAAACTCTTGTACAACTTATCGACTTGGCACGCCTTCAGCATTATAATATATATTGACACACATTGCCGTTTTCGAAAAGAACAGGGACATGTGTACTGACTCTTTAATCTGGCTGTTGCTGATTTTATAGCTGACAGATTGCTGAAAGATAACAAGAACGCAGTTTCTAGCCGGTTCTTTGCTGTACAGTTTTAATTTAAGAAGACTAATTTGTAAGTTGTGAACTGTTGGTAGTTTTTGACCTTCAATAATAGCACGAAGCAAGCCTATATTGAATTAAGAAATTGTAGTTAAGTCGATTATCCAGTTATCAAATTAAAATAAAAAATAAAACAAGATTAATTAGTATGTCATCACAAGGCAATGATAAATTATTGACAGTTTTCATAACAGATGCCAGTTGCTATGTATTTTGATGTGGAAAATCGCAGTTAATTTGAACCAAAAAGTGTGAACTCGTCGAATATCAAATGCTAACACACCTGCATGTCCCTGGCGGTGATGACGACGGCCTTGCCGTTCTCCACTATGGACCCGTTCGTTGGGTACATCCTTATGAAGGGCGGCGATGCCTGGATTTCGAGGTTGCCGTTCACGTCGAACAGTCCATCGGATATCCAGAAGGCCATCTTGCCGTACTCCTTGCCCTGATGCTTGAACAGCACCAGGTTCTTGTTGATGTCGTCCTGGGAGAACTGGGCGATCTGCTCCGTGGGGTTGTCCGCCCTGTATATGCCGCCGTTGGGTGGGTCCTTCGTGAACCTCTGCACCGTGTAGATGATGTCCGAGGGTCGGGTGTCCAGATCGGTGTCCGTGTAGCTCAGGTCCCTCGACGTGATGATCCTCGCGCCGCCGTTCACCACGTGGAAGGTCCTCTCCTCCGCGCGCACTGGGCTGTTGTCGTTCTTCAGCACGATGTCTATGTGGAAAACGCCAACGTACTGGAAGTCCTCCGGTTCCGGGCTGAGCGCCATGAAGTGGAAGGAGTCGTGTCTGCTCTCCGTGTCGTCGTGGGCGTAGTAGACTCTGTCGGAGTTCAGCTCTTGCAGCGTGAAGTAAGTGGTGTTGTCGCGCACCACTTTGAGGTTGTCGCTGATCACGTCGATCTTGCCGTGCCTCGGCAGGTGGGTTATGTTGAACAGCAGGTTGGTGACGGTGTCCGTTCGGAAGTCGAGGTGGCTGGCCGGTATCGACATGCGGGAGCCCTCCATCACCTGCAGCCGCTCCAGGGTCGAGTGGGCCCTGCCGGGGGCGTGGTCGACGGTGAAGTGGCTCGGCGTGTGGCGGACGGTCATCACGCCGGTGACGTTCTCGCATTCCGTCGCACCGACGACGAACGAGAACTCGTCGTGTACGTGCGAGTACGTGCGCCTGTGCAGCCGGTACCAGAGCTGGTCCGTGTCTACGTCCCGCTGGGTGAACGTGCCGAACGCCTGCAAATGGTGCTTCCCGGAGGACAGGTGCAGGATGCCGTACTTCGGCGGCTTCAGGACCGTGTAGACGATGCTGTCGCCGGGCAGGGGCAGCGGTCTGGTCTGGAAACGCAGGTGCTGCGAAGACACGAACGCCTCCCTCGTGTTGTTCAAGACCAGCTCCTCGTTTGTGCACTGGTACAGCTCCAGCTTGATGAAGGTCAGACGGAAATCGTAGAGGATGTTCGTTCGTATCGCGCCCACGGATGCCTTGAACTGCAATAGCAATAAAGTTATTAAACACACACACACTCGAAAACGCCTAGAATGTAGAAACAATAAATACAACAAGAGAACAACGATAATGACAATAAAAAATGAAGCTTTTTCCCCGTAGTGCCGTCATTTGATTTTGGTCATCGATGATAAACATCATCACGTTATGATGAAATGTATCATCGTGAAATGCTCTAAACAATATTAGTCAAAATCAAATCCAAAGGTCAATATCAATAAAACCGTTTAAAAACTTTCAAGTTAAACGGTTTTATTTTATGTGCACTGAAAACTACAACAATACAATGTCATCTAAATTAAATGTGTGTACCAAATTTCAGATCAATCTGACAACGGGAAGGTGCTTAAATTACAATTTCTAATTTTGACCCAAATAAACAAATGAATTCCGTACGGGTCGAGCTAAATAAAACCGTTTAAAAATATGTATATTTATTCACATAGACGCTGACGCGTTCTTATGAAATGTCAAAATATTACATAAAAATTAATACGTTCGTAAGTTATTACTTAGTTATGTATGCACGTTGCTTTCCTGATGAGGGATATTTATGTCTGAACCTTTTCGATAATGAGCAAATTTAAATGCAACCTACCCTGATCAACACAAAAGGTATATAGATTAAAGACTTATGTGTAAATCTTTTGTAAGTGGTATTTAATGAGTGTTTTTTTAAATGCAAATTCACACAACCGACCTTAAACTCGTCATGAGCCGGGTTGCCCAACAGATGCATGTACCGGACGCGGCCAAAGTTGACCATGTCGCTGGTGAAGGAGTCGACCGTCTGCCAAGTGCCGTCCAGGACTCTCAGTCTCTCCACCACACCGAATTGTGGCGGCTTCACGATATCGTATCTGTAAAGGGAGTAATTAATTGCAGTACAGGTCAATAACTATTTTTTTAATAACGAAAAACAAAACCGACTTGAGCCCGGTTCCTATATTCGGGATGTTCCTATATTAGGGAAAAATGATGACAGAAAATTTTTACGATGCGCGCGCACACCGTCACGAAAAACCAACACTGAAGTTAGGTAGACATCTACGTATGTTTGAGTTTTTAATAAACTTTATTCAACAAGATAATGTGTTATAATAAAACTTTCAATGTATTAAATACCTTTTTTCTATTGTAAGTGTCGTTTTTTCTACAAGCGTAGCATAAGGCAAAAGATAAAATTTTTGAAAATATTTTTATCTTGTTACGCCAAAGAATTTTTAACTTCTAACGCGTGTACATAATTACACACACACACATTCGTTTTCTTTAATTTTTTATTTTACATTATCCATTACAGTAAGGGCGTTTTACAAACATAAGTGTCAAGCGGACATACAAGCAGATCCGAAACAACCGTCTGTGGGTCACACAAACAGTTGTCTCGTGTGGGAATCGAAATCACAGCCCGCGGCACGCAAGGCCAATATCTTAGCAACTGCGTCAAGGCGTCATCGAAAAAAAAATCTATTCTACAGGGTGATTTTTTGGACATAATTAACTTTGAAAAAATAACAAGTTAATTGAACATTCCATAATTGAAAAAAATATCAATATTTTATTTTGACTAGAAATAACCATAAAAATATAGAATCAAACATTGTTTATCCCGTTAAGACCCCGATCGACAAGCGGTTTAGTAACTATGCGTTCAGTGAAAAGTTTTAGTGCTCATTTCTTAAGGTGTCCATAATGTTTGAAAAAATTAAAAATAATCTTTGAAAAAAAAAAAATGAGGTCCCAAGATCGTACCAGATTCAGATTTAGAATGAATTTCTGCATAATATGCTCTGTTAATATGTCCGTCGCCTGGAAAATCACCCTGTATAACTTGACAGATAACACTAAATGACTATAAATAACACTAACCGCACATGGGCGTTGCTCTCGTCGGCGTTAGTGGCGAACGTGAGGTTGTCGGCGGACATTATCGCGTACGAGTTGTGGACTAGCTGTAGGCCGGTGTTGTTCACTAAACGGACTTGAAGCGGCACAATGGAGACGCGCAGCACGCTCGCCGCGCTCGTCTCGATGCCGTCCGACACCTGGCAATGGGAACGGGCGCTGGTATTATATTTTGTGCAAGCGAGCCGGCGGCTCGTTTTAAGTGATAACCGCCGCACATTGACATTTGGAACACTCGTAGGATTACATATGCTTTGCCGCCTTTAAATAAAGTGGGCCCCGGCTACCTCACCCACCAGACGAAACGCAGAAGTGTAACACTTCCAATTCACGCCGGTCTACTGAGAGGTCGTGGTACTTCCCCGGACGAATCTGCCCATTCGTGCAACAGCGAAGACTGCTGCGTGGTCCAACCACAGTTGACACGCTGATATAAAAACGCTCATGTCTAAGAGATCATACAAATGCCGAAGAGAATTGTACTTCAACACGGTTCCGTCCGCCACTAATTGCTTTTTAACAATTATAATCTGTTATGCAATATGTAAAAACTTCTGTCCAGAGGTCCTTGCCCAGCAGTAGGACACGAAATCCTTACTTTCGATAACATAGTTTAAAAATTAGACATAGACCCCAATATAGTACAGCCACAAAATTATAACACTTTTTTAACATTACCACACTAGCAACGGCGGCGGTAATGACGCCGCTGAGTATAACAGCACGAGTGTTGGATAAGTGGTGCAATGACGGATTCTAAATTCTATCATTACTCAAACTATCTAATGAATTCGTGGTGCAGTTGCCAAGATAATTGCTTTGGCCGGGAGTAGTGGGTTCGATTCCTACACGAGACAACTATTCGTTTGACCCGCGACAAATGTTTCAGATCTGGTTGTTCGTCCACGTGGAATTTATGTTTTTACTAAATCTAAGCATTGGCAACACTAGTTGCAGTGGCGGACGGCCGTCTCAATCGGTCGAATAGACAGCCGCGGCGGGTGTGGCGGGTGTGGCAGCGGTGGCAGCGGTGGCAGCTCCCAGCGCACCTGCAACGTGAGCCGCAACGAGGTCTTGTTCAGCTGCTTGTCGCCGCCGAAGCCGTGGACGTAAGATATGACGCCGGCGTCGACGTCCGCCTGAGTAAAGGAGTCCACCGGCTGCCCCGACATCTCGATGTGCCCGCTGAAACAAACGCCAAATTCAAATTAAAAAAAAGTTTAAGTAAAGTATCAGCCTATACATGTCCCACTGCTGGGCAAAGACCTCCCCTGTACAGAGGGTATCAGGGCATACTCCTCCACGGGGCCCCACTGCGGATTGGCGGATTTCGCACATCTTCGAAATATCTTATTTTTGTTATTATTTCGAAAATTTGCAAGTTTCCTCACGATGTTTCCCTTCACCGCTGAGCACATGATAATACGGCACTTAAAATTAACTATTTCATTGGTGCCGGCGCCGGAATCGAACTCATGTTGCTCGAGTATATTGAATGAAAGGCGAGCGCCCGGACACTGAGCTATCACGGCTCAAATATCTCTATATTTTTTTTACGACAAAGCTCAAACGAGCTGGCGGTTCACCCGATGTTGAGTGATATACGCCGCCCATGGACATTTGCAACACCCGTTGCGTTGCAGATAAGTTGCCACCTTTTAATAAAGTGCCCCGGCTACTTCACTACCCACTACTGTGAGGTCGTGGTAAACCGGACGGACCTGCCCATTCGTGCAACAGTGAACCACACTAAATACTATAGATTCTTATATCTCTTCGGTATAAGTATTACATTCAATGTAGAAGCATTACACTTATTTACCGATTGTCAAAACACTAACACCGGTTCGGAAAAGAAAACCACTGAATTGAGAAGAACCGGCGAAAGAAACTCAGCGGCACATTTTTTACCGTTATATCCATTCTTATGACAAATAAACATGTTTGTTTGTCCACTTGAAAGAGATGGAAGCGATCAATTCAATTCCAGGGTGTGTTATAATTCAATTATTTAAACTAATATTATAACAGCCTTTAAACACACGTAATGTTCCTTTAGAATTTTTTTATTTGGGCGATTGATACGTTTTGAATATTATCTGAGATTTTGTTGTAGAAACGTATACTTACCTTATCCCATAGAAGAAATACTTATTCAACGGTCTAATTGTGGGTACAATTAATTTAGGTTTGCACTCCACGGTTTCATATGCCCTTTTGCTCCTTTAACTTAGGAATTAACCCATGATTTTCCAAAGGACTCTTCAAACTAACGGCGTGAGCACCATCATCATAAATAAATAAATAAATATTTAGGACACAGTTTTACACAGTGTTATCTAGTCCCAAACTAAGCAAGCACTACTATGGGTTCTAGATAACTGATAAACATACTTAAACATACTTTTCTTTTGTAAATAAATACATATAATACATATATATACACACAGACACTAGAAAAACACTATGTTCATCACACAATATTTTTACAGTAGTGGGGATCGAACCCACACACCCTCTCCAGGACCCACACACCCTCGCAGGAGGCAGGTACACTACCCACAACGCCATTCGGGTCGTCAAATCCATCCATCATCGTAGCTCATTTAAAAATTGTTGTAGACCCTTTTAACTATTTATGTTTCGACCATATAAAAAAGGATTATTTTTTATTTGAACATATTTTTCAGATTAGTAAAAGAAAAACATACATCGAACATATTATGTTGTCCTAATACCCTTTACATCTTCATTGAAGGGCTATTCCCAGCAGTCTAACATACTGTCGAAATGTATTTCATTTTAAATTCTGTACATCGATTTGCGTCTTATATTTTCAGCCTGAAACATGTACTGAGCTAGAAGATCGGATTACAGTTTGTTGCATTTATTTTACAACTATCGACTCCTGTTCAGAAAGCTGAACATGCACTAAGCTAAATCAGTAAACAAATTGACGGATGTATATTGATTACTGTCCAGAAAGAAATAGTGCGGGGTCCAAAGAGAGAACAAACAGTGAGATCTAAACAGTTACCCGTTAGCTTCGTTTTTTCCGTGTAGGACGGTGTATAGCAGATCTTCTGGCGCGGTGTCAGGGTCTTCCGCCTTCAAGATGTCCGATGTTATCACTTTACGGGTGCCCTAGAGTTTATAAAATAATCAGCAACACAGCCAGATAAGAATGCACATACGTTTGATTACAGCGGACTTATTGTTTTGTACGCGAATAACACTGTTGCACGAATGGGCAGGTCCGTCCCGGTAAGTACCACGACCTAACAGGAGACAGTAAAGTGAGTGAGTGGCAACGCATTTGCAACTCTAGGAGTGTCGCAAATGTCCATGGGCGGCGGTTATCACTTAACATCAGGTGAACCGCCGGCTCGTTTGCCACTTTCTCACATAAAAAATACACATTGTGAAATTAAACTATTAAACGGATTTTATCGTGTAATCAATATTTTTATATTTTTAACGTTCCGAACCCTTATAAGCGTTCGGGGTCAGGGGTCTGTCCCCTGAGTTCTTTCACGTCGAAGAGTTGGGGACCACGGCCTCACAGCAGACCGGCGTGAAGTGGGAATGTTACACTTCTGCGTTTCATCTGGTGATTGAGTGAGGCGTGCGTTCAAATGACCATCGGTTGCGGTTGTCACTTAACATCAGGTGATGAGCCAGCTCGCTTGCCAGTTACTCACAAAAAAAAAAGAATTGTGTAAAATAATTTACTATACTCTGACTGATAGTGTATCAGTTCAGCGATACCACAGAGACCGGGCGGTCGCAATTCAAATACCCGAGCAACCTGACATCGAATCCCGTTGTCGGCACTAATGAAATGGTCAATTGCAACTTGGTGCTTTCGGAAAAAAAAAAACAAAAAAAATATTTCGAAAATATTTGAAGTCTAGCAATGTGCAGCGGGGTCGTGTGGCGGACTATGCCCTGATACCCTTTATAAAGAGGAAAACTTTGCCCAGCAATGGAACGTATATATACGTATACATGTGTCATCCTAAATGGCGAGGAAAGTTTTGCCGTTGAACAAAATATGAGCAAACAGTGGCGGCTTTGGTAGCAAGTGCTGTTAGGACAATCAGCAATCCCAGTCCGATTTCATCTTGTTCGTTTAAAATTTTAAATATTAAATAAATTGTGAAAACGTTCATATCTTCGTATTTGTCCCTTTTTGAGGATTGAATGTAAACGCAGACGTCACGTGCGTTATCAATCAAGGCGTCTATTCAGCAGTGGACTGGATTATGATGATGACATAAAAGTGGGCGTTTTTTTAATAAAAAATAATAATGAAAAAAATTATTTTATAATTATTTTTATTTATAAACCCCACGAAAACATACGCTAACTGGTAGAAGGCCTTATCCAAAACAAAAAAGGAATAGAGCTTTACCTAATAAGTTATAAGTTTAATTAACGATATTTGAGTTACTTTGTATATTATGATTTTTATTATAATTTAGACCAGACATGCGAGTTCACTAGTTACTACAGTACGTTACCATAAACAATGCAAGATAACGGTGCAAAACTGTAAATAATCTAAATTAATTGATTTCTAAACTAACATTCGTAATATTAATATTCTTGTCGCTTTATTAAAGTCATGCAATAAAGTTGCCGATTCAATTCAGTTAGTACGTAACGAAATTAATTTTCAGCAATCTTACTGTCCGATAAAACTATATAAGAAACAATAAAAAAACATTACATAACCTAAGTGACATTATTCATATTTAAAAGGAGAGTAGTGACAGTGCAAAAAATCTGGTATTAACAACAGACTCACTATACTTAAGGAGTAATTTGATTTAAAAAACATTATGTGTCAATTTGTATTTCGATCTATAGTATTTACTAAAGTCATACTCACGCTATGTTAATATGTTTTGTATGCAGTTATTCGGCGGGCGTGTTACAAACAAAGCATGCAACTACGATAAGCAACTCAAATAAACTAATTGAATCGCCTCCAACACTCTGAAAAAATAAAACATTTTAACAGTATTAAAAATAAAAACGAAACGACGCAGGCGGGTAGCGTAAATTACAACCACAAAATAATAAGATGGAGCGAAAATAATGTAATCGAACAAGACATAAAAAAGTGTGCGTTTAGAAAATAAAGGTTTTAGACAAATTTTGATTATTTATATATGACGTCTTCTTTTTAATGTATTATGTTAATTTCATGAGATTTGTATAGAAAAAAGGTAGAGACAAATAAAAATTAAATGATGGAAAGGCTAATAATTGAGATATTATACAGATAATGCAAGCAAAGGCCAAACAAAATGAGGAATAAGAATTTTTATTGTACGTAGTTTAAGTTACAAATGAAAAGTTTTATTGACTACTGAGAGCATTCTAGAAAAGTAACAATTTCACGCGACTAAGAGATTCATTGATTCCTCTTCATAACATGAACTTGTCATAACATTACTTTATCATATCATGACATAAGGTCGGTCTTAAAGAAGAGGATATGAACGGTCCTGCTATAAACGAAAACGATTTGATCCATAGATTTCCAAATCAATTCAAAGAAACAATCACTCTGCACAGTGTGCACGGACTAGTGCTCTAAGGCCAAGTCTCGACATGAACTTGTCATAACACGAACATATAATATGACCTGGTCACAACATGCACCATCTTAATAGGGGTCCGATCATATTGGTCGTGCCACAGAACGATGACGTATCCAAGCAATGAGTATCGACCGGTCCGGGGACCAGCCCAGGTTGAGCCGCACCTGCGTGAGCCTCAGCACCTTGCCGGGCGGCAGGTTCAGGACGGGCGCGTCGTTCACCGGCGTCACGTTCACGTGGAGCGCGAAGGTGTTGCGCCCCTGCAGGTAGCTGGGCAGCGTGAACCTCGCCTCCGGCACCAGCTCCATCTCGAGCACTATCGCGTCCTGGTGCTTCTCGGAGCCGTCGTGCACGTAGCGCACCTGAGAAGCACAAAGGTCAGCTGTAAGCTGGAAGTCACTCCAGGAACTGGATTAGTGGACATTGATTTTATTTTATGTGAGAGAAGTGGCAAACCTGCTGGCGGCACAGCTCGTGTTACGATTGATAACCGCCGCCAGTGTAAATTTGCAACACCCTTACGGTTGCAGAGGCGTCGTCACTTTTTAACGAAATGGGCCCCGGTTACCTCACTCGTGAGACGAAAACTGCACTGTGAAGCTTTAGAATTTCTTTATGATAATGAACATGAAATTATCTAAATTTTTATAGTGCTAATCTCTGCACGTAGGATGAAACAATAAAATTTTTAGATAAAGCACGATAAGTTTTTCGCCACTGTGGGAATGAAATCCACGTCTTCGGGATCCGCGCCCTGACGCTTTAACCACTAAGCTATCCGCACCGACTAAAATCTCAACGCCTATTATCTACATTTCTTTATCGCATTTCAAGCAATGCGACACTGAGTAATTCAAATTTTAACGGAATGGAATCCGATATTGTTTCCACGCTACCCCTCTGAAAACTGACCTTGTCCCTGGCCAGGTCCATTAGTGTGAAGAACTGCCTCGACTTCCCCTCGCTGTCGACATAGTTTGCGTATTGGGGGAGGTTCCTCTGCAGCGATAGGTCCACCGCTATGCGGCCGTGCAACGGCGGCTGGGCAACGTGGAGCACCACGCCCGAGGGCCGGACCCCATACTTGTGGTGGTCCAACACCACGTCGATGTTCTGAGTGGTGATGACCGCGACCCCGCCCTCCTGCACCGTCAGCGGGTAGAGGGAGACCAGCTCCAGTTCGCTGCTCGACTTGGAGAACACCTGCGCACAGACCACATGCGATGGAATCGTGAATTTCAGTACAGTTAGACTTAAAATTGGAGAAGGTAAACTGTGGGCACGGCTCCTGGTTCCAGAAAAAAAAAATCGCTTCACTTATAACAAGTTTTATGGGGCAACACCATCAGTATTTTGAAGCGTATTTAAAACGATCATATTATTGAATAACTCTAGTTCTATATTATGTAGCGTTATTTTGACGACCTAATTTGCGCAGTCGATCAAGTTGCAAATCTATCTGTAGGTGGAATATTAAAACCGTACGTGAGGGGTCAATGTGCTCGAAGGGTTGCTTTATGTTGTACTTGGTACCGAAACCGTACCACGCGAAATAAAAAAAATAGAAAGCAAGCGAAGCCGGTACCTTGTACTTCTCGGCGTAGTCGGGGCTGATGCAGAGCTCGGAGTCGCACCGGCACGTGAAGTGGTCCAGGCCGTGTTGCTCGCAGGTGGCGCTCGGCAGGCACGGCGGGTTGGCAGGGTTGGCGACGCACGGGTACCACCACACGCACTTGGGGCTGACGCCGTACGTCACCAGCGCGTTGGGCAGCCCGTACATCTTGTCGTCCACCTCCACCGGCCTGACGCAGCCCTGCACGGGCGCGACGGCACCGGGTTAATACACAGTGTGGCTTTTCTTAAGATGGTTGGTAACTACATTCGCACAGGAGGTTCAGACCCGGTGGTAGAATAGTTTATTGAAATAAAACAAACTTTTCTTTTCCCAAAAAAAATTGCCATTCCATAACCTAAAAAACGGAACATGTTGACAATACGGTAGTCCTTCATAAATGCGTCATATATTTTTAAAACGATTATGTGTCCGTGTTAGTTATGAATGATCGCGCGTAAAATAAATAAGTTGCCCATAAATCACGCACTTTTTGAGATAAGTTAAAATTAGTATAATTAATTAATTACGAATGGCCTTAAATGTTTATAATTTTTTATATAACATTATTACTATAATACTGTCTATAATTTAATTAAAAAGAATGGATACACTTAGAAAAGCCTCCCTGCATATGGAGTGATAATACTGCCATCTGTCTACCCTATACGGCACAGGTACAAGGGGCCCGTGCCACTATAGTCGGGGGGCCCCGGATGCCGACATTGCCGAATTTGACACGAAACGTGACAGAGTCTGTACACGAAATGTTGACTCGAAACAGCCTAATCGCGTAAATGGTTAAAATCTATTTAAAGGTGAAAAATTATTCAAATTCGGTTGGTGTTCAATGTCATAGAAACAGTACATTTAAGTGGCAAAGTGATAACAATCTGTCAGGTTATATTTTCTACGGGAAACCAAGTGTGCTCTATGGAAAATCAAACATTTTAGGGATAAATTCAATCCACGCTTCTGACGCGAGGTATTTGTACGTCCCCTGTTGGAACAAACCTTTTTTACTTGCCAACAGGCCCCAAAATTCTTGTGTGCCCCAAGGGCTAAGATGGCACTGCATATAGCTTCAAACTCGACGCAGTCGTTCACGCGTATACACCTCTCGTCAGTAAAGTATTGCATTTATTATTATTGCTGAGTATCAAACTAACTTCTTTCTTGTAAGGTACACCGCATCTTATAGTTACGGAACGAATACACCGAATTTCTAACAGTGGTACGACCACGCATCATGTCGCTGATGCACGAATGGGCAGGTCCGTCCGGAGAAGTACCACGACCTCACAGAAGACCGGCGCAAAGTAGAAGTGTTATGTTTCTGCGTTTCGTTTTTTTTTTATTTAGAACTCGGCAGCACTTGACTGCCATCCCACCTGATGGTAAGTGGCGATGCAGCCTTTGATGGTAAGCGCGCTAGCTCATTAAAAACCTATTCACTCTCGCCTTGAAGACGCCTACATTGTAATCGGACGGAAAGACGGACGCCGGCAGGTTGTTCCATTCCTTAGCTGTACGGATGATGAATGATGAGGCAAATCGCTTTGTTTTTGTTTTGGGAACGTCGACAGCATGGGTGTATTGCAATTGTGCATTTGCAACAACCTTATGGGTGTTGCAAATGTCTATGGGCGGCGGTTACCACTTAACATCAGGTGAAACGGCAGCTCGCTTGCCATCTTATCACATAGAAAAAAATATATTGTTATAATAAAACGTACCATTATGCTAGAGTCGGCAGCTTCGATCCCCTTGGCGAATGCTCTCTGTCGCTTCTCACTCTCTATTCCACCGAGATAGAAAGAGTCGGAGAGATCGAGGTATCGCGTACCACCGCTCTCTATTCGAGTGCTCATAGCGATGTTGTCCACTGATAACTGAAACCATTAAAGTGTTTCGGTTTTTATGATTTTAAGTGTTTTGTATTCAATAAAATTTGTTGTATTCTGTAAGATAAAAGATTTTTTAACTGAATCTTTAATGATCACTGACGCACAGCGGCTAATAAACAACTTGTTTCTTTTTTCAAAGCACGTGTATTAAGCAAAAATTAGATTTAATCCTTAATCAGGAATATATAAATTCTTCAATAACACGGTTCCATTGCGCGGTCTGTAGATGCAACTTGTGTAAATTGTATACTGATCACTGTTTGTGAATGTGATGTATACTGGTTATCTCGTGTTATAAATATACTTTGTAATTTACGTAAAATTATTACTTCTTTTCTTTTACCGGTCGTATTTGGAATCACATTATACAAAGGCCATAACAATAAACTTATCATTCGCTTTTACTTATGTTATCCCCAAAATTCAGTTTTCTATTTCGAATTGAAGACTGGTCTATAAGTAATATACCAACATTCTGTTTTTAGCAAAGACATGTTAACGTATTAGCGGACCCAACAGCTGAAGCAACATTATTCGTTCCTTATACTGAAAATCTTATAAATCGTTCAGAGAAAACAAATTTAAAGCCTTGCATTTCCTATATTCATTATTTTACCTAACCTTTTCGAAAACATAATACGTTCATAGCATTGCAATGCTGCTCTATCGATATCTGTAATAATCGCCGATTGCCATGCACTGATATCATACACCAATGCTGAACAAACTGTACCTACTTATCGTATCACTGAAAACTAACCACTTGTTGCACTATGAGCTTTGATTGAATTTTAAAATTTTTACATTAAGGAAAAAAAAAAAAAAAAAACATTAAGTAAATCGATTTTTTTTCCAATATGGGTATTTCTAGGACCACCGCGCGTACCCACGCATATTAATTAAATATAAGTACGTTTTTATTGTATCACAAAATGCATCTTTAACTAATTTAAACCGTTAATTAAATAATGCAACCTTAACTCAATTTGTTACTTTTCCCAATAATTATGCTTCAATTAATTCATCCATTCTAGATCTACCCGTTAAGTGTGATAACCGCAAACAGCAGTTGGGCACAATTTTGGAATGGTGTGAAAGAGTGGCACATTGGAATGATCGCATTCCAATGTGCCACTCTTTCACATTATTATTATTTTAGTTTATTTAGGCAAATTTTGTGTAAGACTTTCTTTTATCACTGATCGATCTACACTACATCCAAAAGAAAGTCCCGCTGAGTTTCTTTCGCCGGTTCTTCTCGGTCAGTGGCTTTTCTTTCCGAACCGGTGGTAGCGTTTTGAGAGTCAATAAGAAAATTTAATGCTTCTATATTGAATAAAGGTATTTGATTTTTGATTTTGATTTTGACTAAATATTACAATTACTCCATCCGTAGCATTAATCTCTCGCAATAATTTATCTGAATAACCTCCGTTTTTACACCCAAACGAAAATGAGACAGTAGAAAGTAATCCTTACTAATATCATAAAGGCGAAAGTTTGTATGTATGGATGGATGTTTGTTACTCTTTCACACAAAAACTACTGAATAGATTTTAATGAAACTCTACAATACATCAGAATAACACATAGGCTATAATATATAAAGATATTGTGTGAATTGTACACAATATATGTAGTGATAAGTGTCAACTAAGTAGTGTATAATAAAATCAGCGGATAGCAGAAAGATTAATCATATGATGCTAGCTTATGGTTTCCTTTAAATTTCCGCATTATATATGTGGTTGGGCTACTGTACAAGCAAGTCCGTCGGGTCCGTCCGGGTAAGTACCACGACCTCACAGAAGACCGGCGTAAAATGGAAGTGTTATTTATACTTTTTTCGTCTAGTTAGTGAGGTAATCGGGGCCCACTTTTTGATAGACGGCAACGCATCTGCAACCGAACGCGTGGTGCCAATGTGCATGGGCGGCGGTTATCACTTAACAGGTGAACCAGTTGCCACTTTCTCATATTAAAAAAAAATGTTTCGCACGACCCCCACTAGACGGAGTGGCTCAGATATTGCTCCATGGCAGCCTGTGGGAGGGCCTAAGCTCAGCACTGGACTAACCCGGGCTGAAATGATGATGATGATTATTATAAACGCTATAGTACATGGGTGTCATTTTATCCGAGTCCTCAGAGCAGTTTCCGAAGCTCACGGAATGTACATGAATTTATCGTTAAAAAGCGTGGGATAAATCCTAGAAAGTGATCCTAGAATGGATCCTAGAAGTGTGATCCAAACGAGCTATTGGGACTGATTGAACATCACACTTTTCGTAACGCCCATCACACTTTTCGTAACGCCCATCACACTTTTCGTAACGCCGATCACACTTTTCGTAACGCCGATCACACTTTTCGTAACGCTCTCGTCACGCATTCATCAGCTTACTCACCAAGTCAAAAGTGCGTAGAGAAGTTTTACTTCAAAACGTCGTTTTGAAGCATCCGAAGTGTCCGCGCGCATTCCTATTCCTCCCATACACGAGGTCGTCTATACGGCAATTTGAAGAGTTGTAAATGGGACATGTTCGATATTTCGTTATGAACAACATAAGATATGAGCTCTGTTTAAAGCAATAGTTCGTCCTGGATTTCTTTTATGTGAAAGTTGTCAAGAGGGTTGGAGGCTCACCAGATGACAATCGAATACCGTTACAACCCGGTAAAAATAAGTAAACCCCGATTACCTCACTCACCAGACGAAACGCGAAAGTTTATTAATAGCCACTTCAAGCCGGTCTTCTGTGACGCCGTGGTAGTTATCCGGATGGGCTTGCCTATTTGTGCAACATCAAAAGCTGTAGCGTGGCACTACCACAGTAGAATTGGATTGAATTATTGTAACGGAATTTTCATTTTAGCATTTTATGTAAAGGATTAAATGACCCGACCTTTATTGCTTAGTCAAAATATTATTAATTATTAGTACTTTTTTGTTTGGGCTACTTGTAGGATGAAAAATTATTGCCTCGTAATTAAAATTCATATTTTTCCAGTTATATAAAGAATTTAATAATACTTGTAATAATAAATCGCAGTAGCACCATTATGACAAACAAAGTATGTATTTTAACGGCAACAATGATTCTTTCGCTTCAGAGGCATATCGTCGGAGTTGCAGAGGCAGGCATCCACGCGGTATGAGAATATAGGGCTGACGTATGACCTTTTTTATTGTGAGGTGGGAAGCGAGCCGGCGATTGAGTGATAACTACCTCCGATTGACATTTACAACACCTGTAGGATTGCAGACGCGTTGTCATCTTAAAATAAGTGGGCCCCGGCTACCTCACATAATATAATATTCTATGTATTACTTGTCTATAATCTATTTAAATTAAAAATTTGCCAACACGTTGTTGGAACCATTATATAAGTTTGATGAATAGAAGAATTTCTAGTAAATAGCTCATCACTGAACTCATTATTCCGAATAAAGATGACATCGTTTCATTTCAAAAAGCGCGCAATAAAATGGATGTGGTTTTTGAAGAAAAGATCAAACTGCAGAGCGGAACGCTAATGAGCTTATATTGTAAAAAGTGGGTTAATTGCTAGCGCAGATGTCGTACATATTATATAAAAGACATTCATAACATAGCGCATTCGGAAGAGTTCCGTTTTGGTGCATATTTATATTATATTTATTAATTTACTCTTGAAAATACAAACGTTTGATATGTTTGCGGCAAAATTATTTTTCATGAAATCTTTCTATAAAGATATAACGCAGACGATTTTGTAAGTGTTTTCAAGTATATTGATGGAAAACAATAATTTCGCTTTAGCATAGACTTGACAAGAACTTTATTCAGAAGTCTCAAATTATATCAGTATGAAAGTAAAGATGAATAAACAAAATATCATATATTTTTATAACCAAAATACATAGCAAACCGTAGCATATAATTTAGATCTTCCTAAAAAAATAAGCGTAAAACACTTTAAAGCAATAATCATTGAATTTTCTATACAATAAGAAGCGGAGCCAAGAAGTGAATTCTTAAATTGATAACATAAAACATACAATGACAAACAAAAAATAAACAAAAGAGTTCTCTAACGGCAAATAGCATATCCCACATTGATTTTTACCAACAGCGTATAAAAAAACAATTGAATTATGTAAAACTTTCGCAGTATTATAAGCGGAAACAAATATATTTAATATTACGTCATTGTCACATTCCCTACTACGCGCGCAGCATTTATATTATTATGAAGGGCCTTGTAGCTAAAATATAAACTGCAATATATGAACACAATGAGCGACGACCGTATTTCCCGAGTGTTAAAACACTGTCTCACACGCTTGGGGAAAAAATAAGTTCAACAATTCGATCACCATCATCATCATTCCGGCTTGTTTGAGTCCGGCGCCTACGCCACAGACTGCAACGAAGTATGATCCTGAGCCATCTGCATTCATCAACTTCCTGCAAACTTGCACAGGTCCCTCCATCTAAGGGTGGGTCTTTCCTACACTGCGTTGGTCAGTACGAGACTGGTCTTCCCAATCTGTTACCCTGTTCTAAGAGCTGTATGGCCGGCCCGTCGCTATTTACATTAGAAACATCTTAAAGCGTCCTTGCTTTATTCTATTAAGACTGTGTCCGGTTTGAGCAAGGTATTCGGTTGCAGAAAGAAATCTAGAAAAAGATCACATAACTTGACTCCATGGTTTGGTTGCCGAGGTATTTATTGGTTTCAGTGCCGAGGGTCGCGGGTTCGAATCCCACTAGGGAACGGCTACTCGTTTCACCCACAGATAGTTGTTTCGCATCTGCGTGTTTTCCGTGGAATTTATGTTTGTTAAACGTCATTGCAACACAGGATAGTGTTATCCTAAAGTAATTAAAAGAAAGCAAAGCAGGCAATAAATAAAATAAATAAAAGGCGACCAGGTCCCGAGCGGGGCTCTAAGCCGACTCACCTCTATGAGGGACGGGTTGAAGAGTAGGTGCATCTTGTGCCAGCGGCCGTCGTTGACCGTCGCGGTGTGCACGATCTGGCCCTTAGCGGTCTTCACCCGCACCACCCCATCTAGGATCTCTACGGCGAGGAAGTCGGAGCCCCGCCCCCCACCAGCGTTGTAAAGCACCATCGCGTTCTGGCTGATGGTCTTGAACTCCAGCTGCCACCTGGGCACGGAAGGTGTACTCGTGGGCACGTGGCGGTGATCTCGACGCTCCTCGAATAGGGCAACACTGGGATGCGCCAATCGAGCTCGTCGACGGCGAAGGTGAAGAGATCGACATTTTGATATTTATAAAAATAGTCGTCCTCGATAAATCGAAGAGAAAATATCGATATATCGGATGTAGGTCCTAGCGACCCTTTTGTCCAAAAAAAAAAGTTTATCGTGTATTAAATATTTGACACCTACAGACTACGCCTAGTTCGAATTTGAAAAAATTCTTTGATCTGATACGATTTTCGGTATTAAATATTTTGTATCAATATCGCTTAAAATAAAATCGGCTTAAAATATCAAAATAATAGAATCGAAAATATAGATATACCTCTAGACTTGCTCGACTGGCATATTTTTGGGGTGGTGGTCCTATCCTCAACTTAAAAGATTATTTAGGTTAATGCTAGATAAAAAGAGACGTCACTAAAATTCTAAAGTAATTCAATTGCAGACATGTTTTCGGCATATTTTGATCTTTATTTATTTCATGACGTAGTAGATGTCCTGTCTCTTATGCCTGAGGGTGTGGGTTCGATCCCCATTACTTGAAGGATATTGTATGATGAACATAGTGTTTGTCTAGTGTCAGGGTGTTTATATATGTATAATATGTATTTATTTTCTCTAATAAAAGTATGTACATGTATGTTTATCAGTTATCTATTATCAAGTACAAGCTTTGCTTAGTTTTGGGACTAGATGACGTTTCGTTTTAATTATTTCGAAAATTAAAGATTGGCGTATTCTTTTTACGAATTTGACAAAATTTATTGTAGGCCTGACATTATAAGTCATAAAAATCGTTGCTCTATAAATTTCTGCGTTTGTGTTACGGTTACACGCATGGATGACTCGCCCAACCCGTGTCTACCGTTTGCATAAATAAAGTAGACGGTTCGGTGACTTTCGATATTATATTACAAAAACAATAAATTGCCACAGAATACATGGTAAATATCTTAGTACAAACAAACTATTATAAAGAAGTATATACAGTGGACTTAACAGCCTCTGTCTACACATCTTGGCGAGAAACGTGAAATTGCATATGTGTTTTACTCACCTCCCGCCTGCCCGCGAACTTATCCTATGCAATATCAAATAGGCCCCCTCGTCGACGAAACTTATGTCGGAACTAATGTCAGCGTCGAACTCCGCAGCACAGTTCCAAGTGACGCCCTCTACATGCACTGAGCCACTGCGGCTACGTGCCTTGTCTATTATTTTAACGCCGTTATAGTATACCTTGGGATAGAAGTAACACAATCAATCGCTCATACTTTTTAATTATATAAATTGAAATATGAAAAGCTATCAGTCTTTTGATCCTAACACAAGCTTTGGTACAATAACTGCCCTAGAGTTATTGTAACCTCAAATTCAGAGCTCATTTTAAACATAAACATCTAAAAGGCGACCATGTCAGCACAATGCGCAAGAGTTTGAGCCATTTTTTCCCGCAATCCATTGAACATAAAAGAAGCTATTAAGTTTTGCATTTCTTTTAAGTTAACGAGAACAAAACCGAACTTCTTTTTTCTTTTTATAGCTAACTGAAAAATGCACATAAACATAAATATATATTATTCGGAGGAATTTATCAAAACGAGCGCTTTACGCTTTTAAACTCAATTTAAATTCAGGAACAGATGGGCTTTCCGCAATCGACGACGGCATGTTGGGAGTACATTCAACGCGCATATTTCAAACTTTGAAACTTTTAAACGGGAATATGAACGGCCCATAGAGTTGTGCAGAACCGCTTTGTAAAAGGAATTATTGGAGTGTGAATTGCGCCACTTTGATATAACGATCAAAACTAAGTTTTCTCGTTTATACTTAATATTTCAGCAGTGGTGGTGAAGTAAGTAAAACAGTGGTGGTGGTGAAGTAAAGAAAACAGTGGTGGTGGTGAAGTAAAGAAAAAAGTGGTGGTGGTGAAAAATAAAATAATTACACTGTGTGTAACTAGGTTTGACTGCTTGTTTGGAGCTATGGTCTATCCATGTTCAAATTGAACCATGGCTGGAAACAATACATATACAGAACAAATACAATAGTATGCTGCCATAGATCTTTTGTAAATGGAAGGCTTCTATGCTAAATTAAAATGTTACTAATGTAAAAACTACTTAAAAGATGTTTGTCTTTGCTCCTAAATGCAGACATTCCTAAATCTCGACACTCCTAAATGTAGACAGATTGATTTTTACAATCTATTTATATTTTTTAAGTTATTAAACCGTGTTTGGAGTTACTTATACATTTGAAAATAATTAATTCATAGAAAAACATAACAGAAATCATAATTACGATGTTGGTTAGAAATTGGCGCCGACATTTAGTTTTTGAGATATAAAAAATTTAATATTTTTTCCAAGCTCTCCTGAATATATAAAACTGTATAACTAAAAAGGTTCTTTACTGGTAGGTACCAGTTTGTAATAAATAAATGTTGAACCCAATTTATTTTGAATTATGAAAAGTAATGTTAATAAGTCTCACTGTATTCTCTAAAAGAGTAAAACTGTGTAAGTTACTTTTTAAAATTATTGGCAAAAATTAATTCTATAATTACATAATGGCAGTTTCTCTATCAAATAAAATACTTTTATTGTCATATTGTAAAAATATTAACTAAATATTTTTACTTCACCACACTATAAACACTAAAGAAAGTCATGTTTTGATTAATGCATATGCTACTCACATCTTCCATGCAGCCACGGAAGTTTTCCATATGCCCAAGAAACAACTCTGAGAAGTCACCTTGACCACCTAAGAATATTCCAAAGTGAATATTCAACTCAAAAAATCTTCCAGGCAGACGTTTTTTAACCATACTGTCATCAACCTGTGAACAGGTGCCAATAAAAGGAAGCCAAATTTATTTTATAAATCTAAAATAGTACTCAAATATTGTCTTCAATGTGAAATAATAGACACTTATGTTTATTTTCTGTATCATAGTATACATATACATAAATTTCATTCACTTAAATAAAATAATAATGCTTATTCAAGATAAAACAAAATGTAGAATTATGTTTTGGTAAGGTTAAAACAACAGTATAATATTCATTATCTTTTGAAATAAATAAAATACAAAGGTCTATAGTAGGGAAAAATATAATTTCTAAACAATTTATTGTAAGCATAAAATGTATTTATTACCTTCATTGTAAGATTAGCTTCTCGTCTTATAATACTGACATGATGCCATTGTGTGTCATTTAAAAAAATGCTTTTCGGTGATGAAAGTTCACTCTCCCCAGCCCCGAGATTAATATGGAGTTTTAGACGCCCACTTTCTAAACGAATCTACAAATTAAAAGAAACCTGTAAACATTTATTGACCCATGCAGCCTGATGACAAGAATGCTAGGTAGTTTAATCTCTGAAGTTATGCCTAACCTTTGAGTAAAGCCCTCTTGTCACCACCCACAGGTATACAAGTGTATAAACAACATATTTTGACTTGACAGTAATTTTGTTTAATTGTAGAAGCTTACCATACAGTAATCAGTTTTTCCTGCAGCCAGAAGGAGCAAAGCATCAGAAAGATGAGTGCGGAACTTAAAGCTTATATCTGTGGCACCTTTAGCTTCTTGAAGAGGATAGGATATGTAACTTGCCCCATAAAAGGATGCTATTTTAAAATAAGAAAACATTATTTATAAATACATCAAATTCTAATACCAATCGAATAAAAAAAACACTACCTATAGGAGATTACGAATAAATATTATTCTCACGCAAAACTAAACTTACCTTTATCATATGCCAAACTTAAGGAAAAAAGGGATAGTACTAAAAGCAATTCCATTTTAACACAATAAAACTGACAAAGAAGAGCTGAAAATATTAGATCAACACATCTTAAAGTTATGTATTACATCTGACTCAAATTTCTTATGTTCTTTAGATTGTAGAACATCGAATACTGAGACATTTTCAAGTCAACAGACACAGGCGTGGCGTCATTGTAATGGTAAACTATTTAATTCACTATGGCTCAATCATAATTATCAATAAACAGTTAACTTATTTGTGTACGTTGTTCTTAAAATATTCCAAAATTTGTTTCAAAAGTGACTGTGATTTGCACGGCAAGGTATTACACACATCGATAATAACGTTAAATATAAATTGTATTAATAATCTTGAGTGAGTCTTGACTTGACACTCTGACAACCACAGATGCAAAAACTATATATAAGACATTATTACATATTTGAATTAATATTTCTGACACGTAAGGATAAAAGTAAAGAGGGTGAACTTGATGCGCATACGCAGAGATTTATAAATGGCACCATTGGTCCGCAATATAGTTACTCGAATTATCAAATAGTAACATTTATTAAACATCAATAATGTTCTGACGCATTATTGAAGTGTTTTGAAAATAAGTAAACATAAATGTTTATTTTGTAGCGTAGTTTGCAGTGACTGGCTTTCATAGCTTTCCTGTCCGCTTTCTTAGAAAGTCAGCAGCCAGACGTTGCTGGTGCACGGTGAAATGGTGAAACCGACCACTCCACTAAAATTATTTCTGTCACCCCTGTTAACAATCGATGGGTAATTCGAGTAACAGCTGACCTCTAATGCAGTGGTGGACTAAGGCCATCAGAGACCCGGGGCGGTAAAGCTGAATGAGGCACCTTGTTTGAGGAATTGATCCAAAAACAAGCTTTTTATTCACTTCACATTTCTATGCATCAGTATTTATGTTTATTTAGTTAAAATCTTGTAAGTGAAATATAAATTGGACTGAAATAAAGGTTTCTGGAACTAAAACAATGTAGACATTATAAACATTAGTAGCAGTGGCGTAGATTGCCTTAGAAAGGCCCTCAAATCCAAATGTAGCGTCTACTGTATCCAAAATAATGGATAGTAATTGAGATTTTTTAATTTATAACAATATTTTTCTCTTACTGCGCTAATCGACCAAATCAAATTAACAATTTCATTTTAAATGGGCCAGATACAGAATAATGGCCTGTTAAAGGCAGATTAGATGATGTGATGATCCTAAAGCATTTTTAACATTATAACTTAGGCTATAACTGGGCAAACATGATCAAAACACATGTATGACTTTAATGTTCATGTAGGAGAATGAGTCCATTGATGATATTGTATAGTCTTGCGGCTGACGATGATGATGTATTCCATTTATTCCATCCTCTGAGTAGGTTCCCTTATCGATTGCGATCCGAGACAAGATTCAAACCTCTATCCGAGGGGCCCTTGGAACATCGTCGAACACCAACTACATTGTTCTATTGAATTCGCGGGTCGTCTTCCTGCGGGCCTCTTTTTCTTCTAAGGCAATTGGCGACCTGGAAAACTCTTCCTCCAAAGCTGTCAAAGCCATCGGGCTAGCAGGAAGCGTGGAAGCCTTAAAACCCTCTGTACAGAGAATGCATTTACCCATCAGTGGGACATGTATTAGATGATATTTTCGTGATTTAATTTCGTAACAGAATGTTTAACATTAATAGTAGTACCCGGAGGACCGAGCAAAGCTCGGTTTGTTTTTTTTTTTTTTTGGTAAATGGTGTATTTTGGAAATTACATTTAGATACAAATTACTAAGTAATGAAATATGCATAATATGTTTCGATCTTACCGACGTAATAATAAGAAAATATGAACTGGTGTTTTTCACAAAAGAAAGAACTTTAAAAAATAACAAAATAACAAATCGACAAAAAATAAAAGATAAAGAAAGCAATGATCTGGAATCGAAAAAAAAGTAAAAAAAATAAGTGAGTAGATGATCGTGATACGAACCACGGCCTTTTGTTTCGTGGCTGTTTGTTAGCGGCCGCCCGATTACCGACTGAGGTACTATAACATTTTTTTTTTTCGGTGAAATTTACTGTCGTATTCGAATAATATTTTTCATTCCCTGAAAACTGGGATAAAACGACATTTTCTAAAAATGAAACCTAGCCAGATCGATTTTTCGCCCCCGAATCTACGCACATACTAAATTTCATGAAAATCGCTGGAGCCGTTTCCGAGATTCCAATTATATATATATATATACAAGAATTGCTCGTTAAAGGATAAGATATCATATACTGTGTTCTATACGTTCTAAATCACGATTTCAACCTTATTTGATGCTCGAGTTGGCATGCCACCATAGATGTTGAATCTTGTATTAATTGATGTTTTTGCTTTCAGTCCCGAGACTATTAAAGCTTCATCTGACGCAGAACCGGTGGGCTAGCCAGAACCCACGGGTTTGGACCCTCTGCTGTGGGTAGGGCCGCGTATGTGCTCATGCGTGTGTTTAATTATGATATGTCATCTAAGGACCATCGAGGTTGCGGTTCGGACGGGGACCCCTATGGCCATAGACTGTGTTTTTAGCTAATGGGTGGGGGAGATCAGAACCGCCCTGGAATGCGGGTGTACCTTGTGTACACGCTGTGTTGGTCTCGCCGTGCTCGGATGCGAGGGCGAACTATTGTATTTGTTGTAGTGGTGTTATCCGGCGGGACCCCCGACAGTGGGTCAGACGTATCTAAGTCCCCTTCCTCGACCGGGTCGATGAGGACGTTTCGCGGGCGACGTTTGTTGACGTTCGAGTTTGTGTCGGGTTGGTAATTTGCTGCGCTTACTACCAGAGTGTTGGGATGATGTTTGGTTCTATCGAAGAACCGTTTGGTCAGGTCTTTAAAATATTCGCGAATCGTCGGGAGTCTGCAATCGCTGTGCCTGTGCAGGTCGACGTTGCGTTGATACCACTGCGCACCGGTTGCGTGGCGGATGAACTTATTGCAACTTGTACAAGCGAGTAGTGTGCGTGTGGGCGAAGGTCATGCATGCGTAGGCCATAAAAGGTCGCAGGTGTTATATAATAATAATTTGTGCCTTAGGGGCATTTTACTTTTAGCGTTAGTATATTTGTGTAGCCGGCCGGAGATGATCGCTATTACGAACGTTATTAATGTGCGTAGTAAATAACACGCGAGTTGAAAGTGTCCACCATAGATGATGGGCCAACTCGAAGTTCGAATCTATAAAGTCAGGTAGATTTTAAACAAACAATAAGTATTTTTTTGTTATTTTGCCATTATTATTATGCTCTTTCATGATCAAAGTTTTCATTAGTTTACTTATTTTACATGCTTCTATTTTAAAAAGTAAGTTCCTAGGGTAACGTGTCTATATTATAATGGTACGACCGGCGACGGCGCAAAATTATTGATTAAATTATTCATTATCTATGCTTCCTCCCACTCTGTGGAGACTTGGCGAGTGGGCGGCGTTGATCGAGTCGAAGTCGTAAAACGAGCTTTCGCCTTGCTGGGTAATGAAATGTGTGTGTAATACATATTATGTCATTTTCTATTTATTACTTTTTAGATTCTGGAATAAATAACTCATTTGTTTAAATTGCAGATTCGATTCCTTCAGTTCCAAACAGTTATAATGAATAATTCGGCTGCTAAAGTAAGTACCCTATACCCTATAAAATTTTTAATAATAATTTAAACAAAACGCATCTATGTGTACTAAAAAGACTAATCAAAACTTTTTTGTTAATATTTTGTTTTTAGTAAATGTTTCATGCATTTTGGAAATGGTTCATGCGTTTGAACGAAATTTCAACATGGATATTTTAATAACATTTTGGTACTAACGTGATTTTATTTTAAAGAAGCATTCTTCATTGGCGTCAAGTAGACCTTTAACGATTATATGGTAATTGGTCAATAATTAATATTTGCTATTTCTATATCGGTTTTGTGAGTATCACTCTATAAAACCCGTTTACGTATTGATTTGCGCATGACAGTGCATTACAAGATCGGAAAGGGACTCCATAGGCACGTAAAGGCAACGCACACCCATAGGCCTACACATTATAGAATGTTCTCCCTCTTATTTTCGCTTTTATCTACAGAAAATGGAATTAGATTTGAATTTAATTTCACTACTATATATTTTAATTTGTAGATAACAGCAATAGTGCACAAGGGAAACATTGTCTATAATGTTCAAAGTATATTTAATTATATTGATAGTTTGCATTGCACTTTGGCAATTTTTTGAGCTTCAAACTGATAGGTATCATATTAAAGTGGACAATGATGTATTTTGGTTTTATGTCACAAAAATTATTAATAGAATTCATCATCAATTGATTTATTTTACTAATGAATACAATCTTTAAATTGTGCTCCTTGTTTGGCAGTAGTTTTTAAATAAAATAGACCTGAGCTAATGCCTCTACGGTTTTGTGATAGTTGTTACTAACATGTTTGTGTTTTGGTGCTGGTTAGTTAACAATGGGTTATATATTTCAATAAAAGTTATGTATGAGTTTGAGATTTACTTATAAAGTTATATAGCTTAACTAAATATTTGTGCACATACATTTATCAATTTTCATTACATGAGCCACCACACCCTACTTTACTAGATATTAGGCAGCTTTATGGGCTTGCAAATTTTATGTGAGAAAAATATCTTGTCTTGTTATCATAACACTTTAAATGATATATATGTATATACTACATAATAATAAATGTAAACAAATTGATTGAAATGGTTATGGCTAAAAAAAAGGAATAAAAGTAACATAAGTATTATTGAAATAAACACAAGTTATTACTTTTAAATGTTCAATGTTCTAATTTAAAATTATGTTTTTGACCTGTTATCACATAGTAAATAGAACTAGACCCTATAATTTATCATGTAGACAAAGTTTTTAATCCAGTGATTTCAGTGGTTGATCATGTCATTCTTTACAATGTGTGAAATGTATATATACTGGTTTGTTACAGTAGATAGATTTTATAGTGCATTCAAAATTGATGGATTTTTTTTTATTGGTGACTAGACAATGTACGAGTTTGCAACTTTTGCATGAATACTTATGTCTCTGTAATGTATTCTGTGCAGTTGGCATCTTCTAGTATTACCAGAAAATGTCGGCAAGGTCGTAAGCGACCGGGAGGACAAAATAACCATCATGAAGTAAGTTTACTTATATATAATAAAGTAATAAACAACATGTGATATAATTAATAGATGATCTTTCAATGGTTTATAGTGAAAATTTCGATAACAGCCCACGTTTTATATGTTCATGTTAGTGATAGTCACAGGGGGGAAGCAAAAAAAGGGAATAAAATAAGTGAAATACAAGTTATTACTTTTAAATGTTCAATGCTGTAATTTAAAATTATGTTTTTGACCTGTTATCACATAGTAAATAGAACTAGACCCTATAATTTATCATGTAGACAAAGTTTTTAATCCAGTGATTTCAGTGGTTGATCATGTCATTCTTTTACAATGTGTGAAATGTATATATACTGGTTTGTTACAGTAGATAGATTTTATAGTGCATTCAAAATTGATGGATTTTTTTTTATTGGTGACTAGACAATGTACGAGTTTGCAACTTTTGCATGAATACTTATGTCTCTGTAATGTATTCTGTGCAGTTGGCATCTTCTAGTATTACCAGAAAATGTCGGCAAGGTCGTAAGCGACCGGGAGGACAAAATAACCATCATGAAGTAAGTTTACTTATATATAATAAAGTAATAAACAACATGTGATATAATTAATAGATGATCTTTCAATGGTTTATAGTGAAAATTTTGATAACAGCCAACGTTTTATATGTTCATGTTAGTGATAGTCACAGGGGGGAAGCAAAAAAAGGGAATAAAAATAGTACAAGTTTTTCAATTTAATTGGATACCTAACTTAAAGTTTTAATAATTAAAATAACAAAAGCAAATATGAATGTATTCATTACATTACTTAAATTTAGACAATTAAACATTATAATTAACATCAATAATAAGTGTGGCACCCTTTATAGAATGGAAAATATCAGTGGCCTTGCTTAAATATCGCAAATCATAAATGTAACACTAAATATAAATGTCAATACCTTAATATGTGCAAAATTTATATTTATGGAACATTTCTTTATTCATACAGTATTTTTGTTTTGCTCTAATTCATAGTTCATCGGAAAGTAAACAACACTTTTGGGCAATTTAGAGGGATGCAAACATTCTTTGGTTTTTATTTACATCATGGTCAGTTGCGTTTGCATTGGCCACCTGTACTAGCATTCAATACTTGAAGGTAGATTTCCATGTTTTATTCTGAATTTAATTGATTTTTTTTTGTGGTTCTGTGTTGGTGTATTATTACATGTTGCTTTCTCTGGAACTTGTCAATTGTTTGTAGTTTTGCTGGAAAAATTCTATGCAAATGTAAATTCGATTTGTAAACGTACTTACTGTGTTTAATGCTGTATTTGATGTTTTTTTTCTCTATTATTTGTTTAAATAAAACTTTATTATTATTATTGTTATTATTAATTCTCTCGTCTTATTTATGGTATATATTAAAATAGTATTTATGTTGCATATGTACATTGAGAAAACTGCAGGGTATATCGATTGACATTTGGGGGTTTTTATTTCAGTTTCCAATAACAAGAGACAAAATATTTATTTACAGCTGAGTGCAATAGTTAGGATCTAACTTATGTCTCCATAACTTACCATAGACTATATCAAGTAGCTCAGATTTCCTTTCCTGATTCACACATGAACAGAAATGAAATTAAGAAAAAACAATATGATCTGGTTTATATTGATTAAATTAGGAGTCAGTAATGGAATAGAATTTTTATTTGTATAGCGAAAAATTGACACTGTGGTAAACAAATTAACTACATCAAAATACATAGTCTCGAAATGGAATGTCATGTCTCCTGAGCTATATAATTACAAAGAATTTTCATAATTTTCATAATAATACTTAGATCCATGCTGAATCAAAGCAACCTCCCTAATTAATTTTAAAATACAATAGTGAAGTTCTTTTTTATCAAACCCTACTTTAAAACAGTCAAAATTTATTAGTTACTTTTTGTAATAATTTGGTTTCTTTTTGCATTCCTCTGTCCATGAATGTATTTACTTGTACTCCATTATGTTATTACCATTTTTTAGCACTTGATTGTTGACTGGAGTGTTACAGACTTATTAAGGCATACCTCGTATTAAATACTTTTACATAACTTTTGATTTATCATTAACAACCAATGTGCTATTTTTCATTATGTCAATACAGTCTCTTTTAGGTAAAGTAAAGTAAAAGCTTATATTCGTCCCACTGCTGGGCAACGGCCCTCTATGTATTTGGGTTATAGAGCATAGTAATATTTAATATTTTCTTTCGAAAATATACAGGTTAGTGTTTAGTTATTTTATTACTTGTCCAATAATGTAAAACAAAACAATTTTTTTGTATGAAAATTTTTAACAAATATTTGGTGCAATGTATTGTACATAAAAATCTTCCTCCTGCATTAAAAAAAATCTATTTAAAAATTATCTATTAAAAAAAACCCCATCAACATCCTTTGCGTTGTTTTAAAGATCTAAGCATGCATGCTTTATGCGGACAGGCAGACAGTGGGATGAATTTGTTTTATACCATGTAGTGATTAATTAAAAACCATACTTAAATATATAACACAGCTACATTAATATTTTTTGTAATTTCGGAGGGTTTTGATTAAGCACAAAGTTTATCTAATTATTGAGTAGAGTTCAATTAATAAATAAATAATATAAAGAATGATGTATAATACTAGAAGACTTGATTTGTAAAAAAAAAATTAAACTAACACGTAATTATTCTAACGTATTTCAGCACTATTAAGAAAGTAATGGTAAACAATCAACTATTACTTACGTATTCACTTGCTAAAGTATTATGTATGGAAGTAAGGAATGAAATATTCTTACTTAGTGGAAAGAAAAAATAATACATAAAATGATAATATAATTATTATGCAGTTAAAAATAATATAAATATATAAAAAATCACATGCAACAAATTGTAGCATCAAGTAACAGCATTGCATTGAAATACGGCGAAATCATCGATGTAGTTAGAGTAATTATTATTGAAGGCCACTAAATGTCGCAAATATATCAATATAATAAAAAGAAAAATGTCTGTTTGTTTAATCATATTAAATTTAAGCCATTATAAACGGTATTCATAAATATGGGATTGAGATGCGTCATCGTGTTACATTAACTATATAAAATTATTGGACAAGTAAGAAAAGATTGAATGTGCACGATTGATCGATATAACATCATTTCTATGTGTTGTGGCTGATTAAAAATAGGTGTTACTCAGGTATTCATATTATCATGATAATTTTCATTTGAGCACAAGATTATAGTGAGTATGCTACCTAGCATCCTTATTATTGCATACTTATCTGTATGCTACATGGGATACTATAAAGTATTCGAATATATAATTTATGTGAAGCCCTAATGTTGCTTTCTTTAATTTTTGGTTACAGTTGGTGAGAAGAATCTGACAAAACAATCGTTAATTTATTCTTATTTACGCTTCTATTTACTTTAGCTGTGGGGATAAAAGCTAACTTATAGGACTAAGTTTATTTTATTTAAAATGAAATGCAACCTTTTTACTTGGTATTATAGTCTTTGCAATGTGTTTACATATTTTTGTTTAAAGTATATTGTTCTAGTTTTTCTTCTAGGGTAAAAACGAGAGAAAAAATTCGTAGTTGTTCTTCTAGTTAGTTGTAGTTAAATGACTGCGTTTAGCGCAGCAAGTGTTGACAATAATATTCATTGAGCAAATAATTAATCGGGAAGTTAACCGATTGAGGATAATTATAATTGTCATTGCTATAGAAACTTCTGATTATTGTTCAAGTTATTATTTTTGATAATAGCCAATTTAATATTGGTTTGCTGTTTTATTAGGTTGCAATAAAATGATTAGACATATATAATTGTATTTTTAACACTAAAAATCTTTAGTTGGACCAGTCACGCTGCTTAATTATGTTTAAAGGAAACATTATGTTTAAAGGAAACTACGAAATAACGTTGTCGCGTTACATTTTAAATATTTTAATTCCCGACTGTAATGGGTTTGTGAGCAGATGTTTTACGACCTAATGTTATATTTATATTGCCCTTTATTTTTAGTTCATTAACATAGTTTGTGCATTATTATAAAGATGGAAAAAAAATTAGAATGCGGGATTTTTTATTATTATAAATCTTCACGAGACAATATGTGTGCATGACATGCTAAGGGAAACGCATGTGCCGTGATTATTTTAGAGTAGATTTCGTGCCTTTTAATTTGACCATATTATTTGTATCGTTGTGATTAACAACAATTGGATATAATAATTTCTTGTATTTAGGTACGTGATTACTATTTTTTGTGGACTTATCGCGTTTTATTTTTAACTTTTCTTCCCGAAGTTTCGAACCCTTCGACTCCACCCACGATCCAATCACGTTCAGCGACCGTGTACGCTGAAAAGGGTTCGATACGCCGGGAGCTAAAATTAAAAGTGAACGCGATGAATCCGTAGATACTGTTTCATGCGACAATATTAGGATGTGTGCATGCCTTTAATTTAACGAGCACGAGGTTGGCATACATTTTGATTCATGTTGGTCTTTCGAGCGAAATGCTTAACTACTGCAGCAGTGGCTTTAAATGTCTGGACCGTGCATGCCCGTCCTGAGTGCGGCTGCCCCGCTGCGTAGCTCGCTTGAAATGGTACCTTTGCAATTTATAGGTAGGTGAAATATTCAGGGAGGCGGGCTCTGCGTTCAACAAGCTCTCCGAGATGACCATGCTCCTGCACCCCATGGGAGACTCGCAACCAGGGTATGATTCACAGTGTACGCGCATGCATATCAGTCACGCTTAAAACACGCAATGTAGCACTAAAAGCAATGGTATTGTATACAAATACGAGGTAGTTATGACACTAGCGCATCGGTACTTAGGCACTCTAATTACGCCAATCGGTGTAATTAGATTGCTTAATACACATATATAGGGTGTATAACTATACAGGGTGGCTTTTCTTAAGGTGAGTTTTGAGATAAGTACAAGTGAATGTTTTTAATTAATTACGAGTGATTTTAAATATTTATCATTTTTTTATATAACATTGTTTATGTCTAGAATTTAATAAAAAAATGGATACACTTATAAAAGCCTCCCTGTATAGGCTGCTATCTCTTTCCGTGTCATACGTTCTCATCCTTTCTCTCTTTCCGTATCATACGAAATCATATCTGTCACATGCACTATATATGTCATGTAATGTAAACCGGAACAACTTTTAAACGCCGCGTAGTAAGGCTTCATCATTATTAAAACATCATTGATTCAAAGAAACGAAACTTCGTGCGCAATCACATTCCCACCTCCCTCTTGAACTACGATTACTGTTATTGAATATTTCACAGAATTCCTGGATGCTATTTTATTTACTACTTATTTCCTGCTGAAAAATTGTTTTAATCTTTTGCATTTCTCAGGAAGAACGATAAAGCCTTCTCTAGCTGCAATTCTCTCCCCCGTAACATGCAAAAAATTTATATATTTCTTTGTGGTTTACTAAATATTTCATCGCATTTTGAACTGTTTCTGATATAACTTGTCAGAACGCTTGGCGGCTCTGGCCTTCGCGGGGCTAGAATCGAATTGCAAAATAGAAAGACAGTCATGGAAAAATAAACGCCACATTACCTATAATCCGTTCAAGGTGTACTGGCTGCATATATTTTTACGTACCTTTAATTCAGACAAAAAGACAACCGTTATGGGACCGATTAGATTTGAACGATACTGGTGTTATGTTCTTTTGAAATTCGAAAATATTATTTGGTCAATAGATGCGTTTCACATTAAATGCTGTGATAGTGAACAGTTAATTGTTTATTTAAAATCTTTGTGTGAGAGTGTGGCAGGTTAGCTGGCGGTTCACATGATGTTAAGTTGTAACCGCCTCTCGTTGACATTACCACCTCATAATAAAGTGGGCCCCGTCTATCTCACTCACTAGACGAAACGCAGAAATGTAACACTTATTCCGGTATTCTATCAGGTCGCGGTACTTCCCCGGACGGATTTGCCCATTCGTGCAACAACGACTACAAAAAAATGTAATTACCATCGGATGTTGCAAGGGTCCATATCAATGTTAAATTATTAAAATCTATTTTTAAAATATGGTTTTATTCTTAGCGAACTCGTGCTTAGAAAATACCATAAAATTTTTAACGGCTCTAAACAGTACGGAAATATTATTTGTACCACCTCAAAACCTTTCCGATGCCGCCAAAGTATCAGGTCACTTGCCGCACACGGAACCGACAACGAGCCGGTTTACGAATAATAAATACGCATGAATTATTTTAACCCACGGGTTTCTTTTGTTGTCTGGATTTGCGATTCGTTTGTTGTTGAATTGTGAATTGTGTGTGTTCGCGTTTCACGCCAGTGGCAAATGGACGGACGAGGAGATCGAAATGCTGAGGTCCTGCGTGCACCGTTTCGCGGTGGACCTGAACAAGCTCAGCCAGCACATTAAGAGCAGGACTGTGTAAGTTTTTATGGACTAACGCCCGGTTTCCGAAACACTGATCATAGTGGAAGTCAACTAATCAGCTGTCAATTGGCTTTACAAATGTCATTTGAGTTGCCAAAAGGATGGTTAAACTCTCTGAAATGATGAGAATGATCTTCTTAATGATCAGATTAGTTGATTTCTACAATGATCAGTGTTTCAGAAGCCGGGCGTGAATATACTAGTTTAATAAGATAGTCCCATCAGCCTAGTGTGTTATTATAATAATATAAATGTAATCTTGCGAATATCTCAGTCTTTGTTACGAAAAGTTGCCAAGCGAGTTGGCCTTAATATTAAATGATAACTGCAGCCCATTGACATCTGCAACACCTGTTGCTTAGCTGATGCGTTGCCACCTTTTAATGTAGTGGGCCCCGGTTACCTCACTCACCACACAATAGACGAAACTGAGTACGACACTGCTGGCCGTATGAGGAAGCTCAAAGTCGCTCAGCGAGCTATGGAGCGGGCTATGCTCGGTATTTCTCTGCGTGATAGAGTTCGTAACGAAGACATCCGCAGTAGAACCAAGATAACCGATATAGATAACCGATATAGGATTAGCAAGCTGAAGTGGCGATGGGCCGGCCATATAGCTCGTAGAACCGATAATCGTTGGGGAAGAAAGGTTCTCGAGTGGCAGCCTCGTACTGGCCATCGCAGTGTGGGACGACCCCCCACTAGATGGAGTGACGACCTGGGCAAATGTGCGGGAAGTCGATGGATGCAGGTGGCTCAGGAAGTCTGTGGGGGAGGCCCATGTTCAGCAGTGGACTCAAACAGGCTGAAATGATGGTGATGATGATGATGATGAAGTAGGACACTTCCTCTTCACGCCGATCTTCCGCGAGGTCGTGGTACTTCCTCGGTGTGCCATTCGTGCAACAGCAAAAACTGCTGCGTGGCAGAAAAATAGTAAATAGCTCTTAGTTATTGTATGTATTATCTGTTGGGGCGTTATTGTACGTTGCCGTTATTAGTAAAGTTTTGGAGCAATATCTATAATTCATCTCCATTTCCAACAGGGAGGTTCTCAATTCGGTTGGAGTTTTTTTATGTTTGTTACACGAGAACTCCGTCATTTATGAAGCTATTATAAAAATTCCCATGGCACTGAATCCGGCTTAGATCCCACGTGGTCCCATATTAATTTCCTTTGGTACATCAGAGAACTCATCAAAATCAAATGCAATGTGCACTGAGATATTTGAAGTCGAAGTATTTTATGTTAATATTTGCCTAAGTGATAATGTTGCAAGCTAGTTGGCGGTATACCGCTATACATAAGTGATAACCGTCGACCGTGGACATTTGCAACACCCGCAGATGCCTTGCCACCTTTTACTTAACTGGTTTATTGTGAGATACTGTGAAACTCGTGAGGAATGTATGCCATTTAGACTAACTGTGCTAAATGTTTTTTGTTAACGTATGTCCTCGACTTCTAAATTGTCTCTTTATAAAAATTATCGTTTTTATAAACTAACGTTGACGACTCCATTGATGTATTAGATATTGGTCCTGTCTTCTGCGCCAGAGGGTGCGGGTTTGATCCCCACTACTGGAAAAATATAATATGATGGACATAGTTTTTTTTTAGTGTCTGCGTGTATATCTTTAATATGTATTTATTTACATTATAAAAGTATGTTTAACAGTTTCCTAGTATCTATAGTAAGAGGCGTTCTTAATTTGGGAGTACATGAAGTTGTGTTAAAATTTGTCCTTACTTAATTTTATATATTTTAAATATCCAATAAATTCATTGCCATTTGTGTTGACTTCAATTCATCGCCCTCAGAAGTTCATAAGTGACGATTGTAACTGGCCAGTCGCGAATCAAGTGCAATTTAAACATTAACTGTTATCAATTGGATCAATTGTTTGCCTCGTTACGATGTTCGAAAGTAAGTAACAGCCTCTAAATGTTCCAATTAGCAATCCTGTTCTCGTATACGAGAGTCATTGGTGTTCATTGATTTCCCACGGAATCTGAACTAGATAAATCATCATCGTATATAATTTCGTCCCGGGCTGTATAAGATCGTGGGTTTGAACTCTAGTGACTCCAGAAAATCAGTTCTCCGTATTTCCTACCACGTTTCGGAAGCTAGATATCTGTGTTATTAGAAGGGCTGTACACACTCCGTTAGAGTAAAAGCTTTGAATACTCTGTTGAAATTCGTGATTAGCAGCGGCAACTTGACGTACATTTTCTTGTATGTATTAACATGTGTATTTACGTAAGCCACCATTAGCTTTCTTTGTTAAACTTAATTATTAAATAAAAGTATTTAACGCGGGGATTATTTTGTTTCTGACTAGCTGGCCGGACAGACTCTTTTATTTAAACCTTCAGTGGACCTTAGGGAACATACAAAAAATAAATTAGCCGAATTGGTCCAGTCATTCTTCAGTTATGGGCTTAACAACATTCATTTTTATTTGTTAAGACGATTTGTTTTCGAACTTCCGAAGCTCTGGACGTAGAGCAATTGTTGTTTCTGAAAGTTAATCGTGATACTTACACGTCGTCTGCGTAGAATAGATTGAAGGCGTAACATTCGGACAGTAAGACAGATAAAAATATGTATTTAAATTATAGCCCATGTGTTATTCTAATGTATAAGCTATATTATTGTAAAGTTTCATTAAAATCCATTTAGTAGAATTTGCGTGAAAGAGTAACAAACATCCATCCATACATACAAACTTTCGCCATTATAATATTAGTAAGGATTATTTTGGAAGTCATAGTACTTCTTTGTTTTAGAAAAATCATGAGACTAATATATTTACGATGAGCGCAACGACCCTCCAAAATAGACATGATGCTTGGTAACCAATTAAATCTTGGCAACCTATAACAATTTTTTAACGTTTAGCAATAGAAAATAATAATTGATAACACGCTGTTTTTTTCTAGTGTCTGGGTGTATAATTAACTATAATATGTATTTATTTACACAAAAGTACTATTACATGTTTTTTTTAATGTTATACTTGCCAAGCGAGCAGGCGGCTCAACTGATGTTAAGTGAATACGCCGCCCATGGTCATCTCCTACACCCGAGAGTTGCAGATGTGTTGACAACCTTTTGAAGATTGGGCTCCAGCTACCTTACTCACCAGACGAAACGCGAAAGTATTTCTTATACTTCCACTTTACGCCGGTCTTCTGTGAGGTCTTGGTTACTTACTTGGTCACTTACCCGGACGAGCTTTCCCATTCTTGCCACACCCGAGGCTGCTCCGCGGCCCAACACAGTTATATTTATGTTTATCGGTTATCTAGTATACATAGCACAATCTTTCCTTAGTTTGGCACTAGATAACGTTGTGTAAAATGTCTCCGATATATTTATTTATTGCATTTATCTAAACTATATCCCATCTTGTTCCGAAAGTATATACATATATCTTTAGTACTTAGATACTGACATGGCGAAAACTGGCATTCCAGCTCCCAAATCCGGGCGACGCTAAAGAAGAAGGCGTTTGAGGACGCAGGTATACCGGTGAGGCAGGTAAGCAGTACGGTGACCAGCCAACAACAACTATCGCCAGTACAGCAGGTAGTCCGACCAATCTGCCCCGACGGCCCGTCAAGCGTGTTAGGAAAAAACGCCGAGGTTCAAATCATTGACTGACTAAAACACAACACCGCTCACTATTATTGTGATTGCTAGTTCTCGTTTTTTTTTTCCCGTTTGGTCGTTTTTACGTTTCGCCTCCACCGTTTTTTTTTTTTTTTTTTTTTTTTTCAGTTTCGAAGTAAGCGAATTTTGTATTACGTTCGTTGTTGCTGCGATGTTGTTTGTTTCCTTTTTTTTTTAATTTTTTTTTAATTGACGCTTCCCCACGCACTCGGCTGACGGCATGCACTAGAGTAGCTGTGAGGGCAGAGTTGTTTCGATGACCGCTATGCCACTGATAGATTCCAATGAGGACTGTGTCACGGAGTTGTAGATGTTTACGATGGTGTCAGGCTTATACCAGAGCCACGAATCCTAGAACAGAATGGGATAAGATGTAAATATTAGGTTATGTATATATAAAATTTTCTTCAACTAAACCAATTCTCACTGGAACTTTATTCTCACTCATTGTTCTTCGTAGAACTCCACGAAATCAGAATATGTTATTGTGCTGTGTCATTTTATGCGTCTCTTTATAATAAAGATGCCGCTGATTGTTTCTGCCGAAGAGTTTATAAAATTATATTTGTTTATAAATAAACAATTTGCGACCTAACAGTATTGGTAATGTATAAATATTTGTAAGTACAAGTACCCCTTATAAAGGTATGAAAATTGCACGTTTGTTTTTATTGATTTGTAGAGGCTTGTAATATTTTACATACGTCGAATGGAGAGCAAATAATTGCGGTAGATTTCGTAGAGGTTACTAGCGTGTGTCCTATTTTCACGGTAAATAGACGAGTGAATATTATTTTATATTAGTCTATAGAGCTTAGACATCCGCACCATGTTTGACTACTTAATTCCTATGGAGGTGTTCGAAATTTTCATAGCATTAAATTACTTTTTATACTCAAGATTAGTATGGGGTAAAGCATAGAGGATTCGTTCTCTTACACGTGCTAACGTATAAACAGGGAGATGGCTAAACAATACCAAGTTTCATGCCAAAAAAAATGTCTGCCGCTGATTAAATGATAAATGTCAATGATGAATCACCTGATGCGCTATCATTAGAGTTAAAAAGTGAGTACGGCTGCACTGGTTTATGGCTTTTAAGCGACTTTAAAAAAGGAGGTGTTTATGTTTGTTATCTCTTTCTTTCTTTCGACCGGGTGAACAGAGTTTTTTGAAATCTGGCACTTCCCATGTTCGCATATTAATTTAATTGGTGTTGGATCTCGGACTCCGGAGATGCTTAGGGAATACCTGAAAATTAATTATACGGTTTGTTTTTCGTCAATAAAAATCGACTTGTTAATGCTTATATCCTTCACATTGTAGTGGCATTTTAGCCATTTCCCTGTAGTATTATGGGTCTCGTTAATTATCTTTTGGAAATTTCGCACCAAAATAGAATTATTACTAGATAGAGGTATCACAAGGTATTACTAGTTTTCCTTTGAATCTGTTTGTTAGTTATTTTTGAAATAATTCATAGTCATTGTACTATTAGTTTCAGGCATAAACTGTTAATACTTAATTTGTACTGTTGTTACAGTTGAAATATGTAAAATTGTTGTGAATTGTTTCAATTGCTGTTTAGTAAATTGACCAATGTGACTGAAGCTATATAGTACTGATTTAATAAAATATATCGAATTAGAAATTGTTTTATACCGATATAAATATGTAAATAACATAACCGTCGTAGCATTTATATTTCTCAAATGTAATTGTTCATCTGAAAAACTAACAGTTATTATTAGATATAATGAATAAAAACATCAACCTTGACATTGGCAGAATCATCAAGTTATTCCTTGATGGAGCCATTATATTAAAATTGGAACTGGAATAAAAACACATTGTACTTGATCATGTGAAATTTGTATTTGCATTATGTGAATTTGGCGGCGACCCGTTGTGATTTGGCACATAAAATGGATGCCCAGTTCAAACGACGAACAGACCTAGGGTCTGTTGTAACTAAAAAGTATTCCTTTAGTGACGATCTAACGGAGGTCTTTCGTGACAGGTGACGCTCAATATGCTGAACGCCACAGAGAACGAGGTGGACGTGGAGGGCCTCACTCACGATGTCAAGCTGGAGTTTGACGGTAGCGACGAGGTGACTGCCTGAAATCTGCTAGACCTCAACTTCTTCTAAAGCCACTCCATCTAGCCGGCTTAAGGGCCGCGTGGGGTGACTTCAGAAGAAGGTTGAGTGGATTCTGCTGGACAATGTTCCACAAAACCAGTGTGGCTACTATATAAACGTGTTTAACTGTGGGTCTTGACGGCGCAGCCTCCATGTGTGTTTATTTTGTGCAGTTCATGTGATGCAGTGCGGTTCCATAATGGTGGGTCTGTGTCGTTTCTGTGTTTTAAGTAATAGGTAACTGATTCGTGGAGATCGATTGTACTCTCCTATCTACTGTTAGAATTATAGATGTATATATATAAATGTATATATATATATATATATATATATATATATATATATAACCCATGCTTTTATCTGTTGGACATGTATTGGTGTATAAATGTATATGACCAATATGCTGTATGTTTATATATATAAGTCTTTTACTTTACACTAATGTCTGTTGTACAGGCCAGTACTACATGCTTATACTATGTTAGCTTGTAGTACTTGCTTCATAAGGGGCCTGTATTATTTTCATTTATTATTTACATCATGCATGAGCAAATAAGTGTTAAAATAATAAATTGAATCTAATACTGGTTTGTAGAGTGCCCACGCAAATGTAGTCTTATGTATTTTAGGTTAAGTTTGTTTGAATGAGATTTGAATGGCAACATTGTGTTTGTACCAATGTTTGCAAATTCAAGTGTTGTGTAAATGTTAAGTATAATTTTCTTGTACAATTTAATTAACACTGTATATAATTTTCATATTAAGATGAACATCTTATATGTTACCCCCACACAAAGACTGGCTATAATCTGAATGTGTTATATGGAGAAATATTTATAGATGTTAACCCCCAAAGAATAATTGTAAAATATTGACACTTTTGTTATTATATTTCAACATACATATTTATATAGTTGATGGTTTAGGTTATTCTGTTTACTACGAAGATTATATGTTTGGGTTATGACTGATTCATAGGTTTATAGATTTAAAACATTTATTATAAGTCTTTAAGACAACTATCTATAAATGCTGTAGGTACTAAGGTTATTAATTCTTTCTTAGTGGGTAAGTAACCGTAAGGCACAATGTGTACTATATCAAACTATTATAATTATAAAATGGGATATTGGATTGTCCTTTGGTTTAAGTATTTGTGTGTTATCAACAATAAGGTTGTTTGGATGTGTCAATAAGGTGGTGGGTATTTTTTTTCTCGATTTGATTAAAATTATAAAAGAGTTAATTGTGACCTTTCTTTACTTTGTAACGTTTGGTGTTTACAACTTATGTATCATATAAATTGTATCATTATTATTATGATTGTGTAATCCTTCTTAAATAGCATGAAATGAAAACTTTCCTGTCTTAGTAATTCTATTCAAGCACTTATATCTGTAATAAATTAAATAGCTTTGAGGTTTTCGGTACAGTATTTGAAAAGATTTTATCAAAGTTGTTCTATTTGTCACATCTAAACAACATAGGTAACTTAAGGTAACTTCGGTAATTTCTTAGATTTAATTGAATGATCATATTCTTAATGTTTTAGCACGTATATTAAGGTTTTTGTTATGTTAAGACTTAGGGAAAATTTAGTATTCGTACCGTATTAAAAAGTAGCTTAAGATTTGATATTTGTAAAACTATGATTACATATTATTAGGCCTTAAGCCGCAGGTGTAACTTCTTTGAGTAAACTTCATTTTGTAAATTGAAACAGTCCACGGTGCCTTATCTTTTTAAATGGCACACCACCATAGCCTTAATTGCATTATACATAAAAGGAATTAGTGTCTGTAATTGTTAGTGTTATTACCACATGTACATTGTATTAGAGTTAGTCGGTTGGTTACTTAGTTGCCTAGTTAGTGCCAGGCGGAGTGGCCACCTTTCCGGGGTGCTCTGGATGTGAATCAGTGAGTTCCGTGATCCTTGAGACACCTTCCGACGTAGGCTGAACGTGGGGTTCCGCAAGGCAACATACTATCGTCCTATAGTTTCCGTTCTGTGTCGCTTACCGTTTCGAGGAGTCTTCGTATAGAAAACTCACTGGCGCCCCTTCTAATCTTATGATACTCCGTAAACGTTAAATGTTCATTTCAATCGAGTGAATAAAGCAAGGAATAGAATTCTGCAGACCTTTAATGGGCCATTAAAGGTCTGCAGAATTCTATTCCTTTTCCAGGTGATCCCCGTTATCTACTTTTGCGCAATAACGATCTTATGTGGACAATGGTTATCCTTGATGCTCCGTGGTTTTATTCATATACACGACTGGGCAACCGTTTTTGAGTTGGTTCGCAATCGCATATATATGTAAGCACAAGTGGCAGTGGCAGTTAATTCCTATCTAATGTTCTAAACATCCCGCTAGTCACGCTATTTCACACAGTTGTGCCACTCTGTTTCAACATTTAATGCTCAGTTCAGTTTGCTTTCGAGCACTTCCCCTTAAACAGATTGAAATCACTTCTATAAAAAAAGATCTTTTCAATGGCAGAATAAAGGCTGGTTTTAAAAAAGCTTATTAGTCGTCAAAAGCTGCCACCGGCTCACTAAATTAAACCTGTCCAGAGAAGAACCGGCAAGAAACTGCGGTCTTGTTTCATGATGTTTGATATATTTAAATAGTCGCCGTCTTTGCCCCGTATAGATCTAAAATATATACTAAAATCGAATATTGCGCAATCGAATCATTCTCCAAGAGGTTGCCATTCAGTGTAATCTTTCCTACTAAACTGCGTCTGGAACACTATTAAAATGGTTTTTCAGTTACTTTTTTATTGCAAGCTTTCTCAATTTACTTGGTTATGTTAATTATGGGTAAAATATGTGTTGTTGCGTCTTGTCAACTATAATGTTCTTAGAGAGTTTACATACGCGACATCTGCGCCGACGACACGAATTTTTGGATAATGTATTATTGAAGTACTAAAGTACAGTAGTAAAGTAAGTCTTACTAAAGTAAAAATTCCTATAACTATCGTTCACTAAACATCTCGATGTTAAAATACTCCTGTATCTCCAGTCACATAATTGAAGATAACCTGCAAAGTTGAGTTGTAATCATTCATGCAAGTAGGAATTGGTAGTTTCATTAGAGTTCTGACGAGTACTTGGCATCTCCATTACATTCCCATAGTTATTGTTTTGCCCGTTTTATATATTTCAAATTGAAACGTAGCGGATTGGTTTATCCTTTAATTTTTTTTTCCTTAGGTTTTTTACGACTTGTGTGTGAATTTTCATATTCGTAGCATAATTCAGCGGTACACTTCTCGTTTGTGCTGCTATCTTCTCCAAGCCCTTCACACATTTCATTGTATTTAGATATTGATTCTCAAATATTTAAATTTTATTCAGTAGATATTGCATGCGATTCTTTGTATCTAAAATAACCAATTTCCTTTAACCACATATACATTATGTGTCTCCGTATACAGTTTATTGTCCTCAAATTAATTATATAAATGCTTATGGTAATGGAGAAAAATTAAAATTAATTGAATCCATTAACTTATCTTTACTTATGCATACACATTTTATTACAATGTATATTTCCTCGACTGTTTTCCACAAACATAATTAAATATTATAAAGTTATAAGGTTCATATACTCAGGGCTCAAAATTGCTGTTACTGCTATCGTGTAACTGCAGTATGAAATGATCTATCATTTTTCTTATGACTCGTTTGCTTGCATAGGAAAGGTTAAGTACTCCTCAAGGGCTCATATCACTTGTACATATATTTTATCATCTTAGTGTAGACGGTTTTATATAATTTTTATGTATTAGCCGTATTTTGTGTTTTATAGATGTCTTGATGTCATAAATAAGTAATATAAGCTCTGACGATTGTTATTACCCTAGCGAGGGGGTCAGAAGTTGAGGCAAATTAACATTTGGACTTATTTGAGCTACAGCGTATTGGTGAAGTATCACTGTAAGTGAATGTTTACGGAGTAGCCTATCTATTTTTCTTTAGTGTTTAACAATAAAACATTTTCCTTGTCAACCTATACAGACAATTTATATATCTATTGCCTATTGGCAATAGATATATGAATTGTTAAGGGTTGTCTATTTTGTTTTCTAACAAACTTTTCTCACCACCGATTCGATCGTTGGACAAAATCTCCGCTATACAAGTTACATTGCGTTAACTTCTGATTGTAATAAAAAGGCAAAATGGTTGTGAAAACGATTAACTCCATTTCTCCCCCTACCTTCAATTGTCAACTTATCTGAGCTAATTTTTACAAAAGCTAGAAAAAATTCCAATTTCTGTCTTAGTTTAACTTACACCCGGTTATTAAACACTGATCTTCTTAGAAGCATTCATTCTGATCATTAAGAAGATCGTTCTGTTCTTTTTAAACGGTTTTATTTAGCTCGACGCGTACGGAATTTATTTGTTTATTTATTTGGGTCAAAATTAGAAATTGAAATTTAAGCACCTTCCCATTGTCAGATTGATCTGAAATTTGGTACACACATTTAATTTAGATGACAATACAATATTGTTGTTTTCAGTGCACATAAAATAAAACTGTTTAACTTAAAAGTTTTTAAACGGTTTTATTTTTATTATTTCAATTCTTTTGGGAAAAAAAATGACATTTGAAAAGCCATTTGACAGCTGATTAGTTAACTTCTACGATGATCAGTGTTTCAAAAACCGGGCGTTTAAAGTTTAATTTTTTGTATTTTGCTCTGTTCTATTTCATTTATTATTTGGACTTGGGTTAATGTCGTCGTTGATTTTTCCTCGTACCATTGATTTTATCCTTAATTATTCTTTAGATATTAAGAAACCTAGTGTTAATGTACCATTTAAGATGTATATATTGCTCTTTCAAGAGTAAAAGAAAACTCTCATATAGCAATAAGAACGTCGAATAAGTTAAAACATATAAATAATAGCGCCATCTAGCGGTAGCTTAGAAGATTCTAGTGATGTAAGTGGTTAATAAA